TTAAATACGACTTCCCAACTTGTAAATACGAACTTCCTAAGAGAACTTCAAAAAGAAATGAATTCCCAGTCCCTCTAAAAGTCGACTCGAGGACGTGAACCGCTTCGATAATGCCATTTGTTGTCATTTGAGGCCGCATCGTTTGACACTGAACAAGTTTGTCACCTCAATATGCTGGATTAAAAGTTTCTGCAGGGCTTAAAGGAGTATTTCACCCATTGCAACATTAATCTTTATTGAAAGTGGATCATATATGTAGTGGAAATGTAAAATAATTTTTAATTCGGTGCCATCTTGACTGAGAAAAGACATTTGTATGAACACTTGACTGAGAAAACAGAAAAGCATTTGTATGAAAAGACTACAGGTCCCACAATGCACCACATTGCACAGCTCCGCAAGCCACACCCACTAATCCGGAACAGCACAAACAGACAATTCACTCTTCCGTCTACAAGGCTAACATTAGCTGTCACCAGAGTTTGAAATTCATATTACACTAAATGTCTAGTTGGCTGTGGCGAGCAGGACGATCGAGGGTGAGGGACATAAGAGGACGGCGCGTTGCGCGAGGCCGGTTGCGTGAGTGATAATGAAAGACACCTGTGAGGCGCGCGCCGATCTCGCGTATCTCACGGAGGAGCTAAAGCATAAAACGGGGAGCAACGACGGCAGATCGAGAGAAAAAAAGGCCTGATTTTATGATGTTTTGTTTCTGTTGTGTGTAACGTTACAGCAGTCGTCAATGAGGTGCTGCTGGCTTATACTTTCGTTTTGTATTTGTTCATTTTACTATTAAAATGTTTAAATGTTCGCCGGTTCCTGCCTCCTTCTTCCGACAACAACAAACCCTGTTAACGTTACATTGGCAAACGCATTAGTGAATTACTCCTTGTTTGTATTTCTTTCTGTTTGGTGAATTACTGCATGATGCCTGGATGTTCTGTCAGGCGAAACTATCACAACACAAACGTCCGTGTGCTCGTCTGATTCAGAGATTTCCTCCAGGAGAAATTACCATCGTTGAAATTCTTTCAGCAGACGGACTCTGTGTCCGTAGGCCGTAGCACGCAGTGAGAGCACAGGCAACAGCAGACCGCTCAGCTCGACCCAGTCCGGGCTCCTCGACCGCGACAGGCAGCCGCCTCCTGTTCCTCCATCAGCCTCAGCTGCTCTAAACTGTACTGCGGCTCGTAAAGATAGCCACGAACATCGGATCTGAGCACCAGAACTTCAAAATCCTCTTCTTCCATATCATGTTTAGTTTATTCCGTCATTGTCATAACTTACTATCTCCACAGCGCTTGTTAGCTTAGCTTCCAAACAAAGTCCCACCCACTGATCTTTGTAATAGGCCTGTAGGGTGAGTGGGTCCAACACCCTGGAATAATAATGAGCTAATATAATGTTTGTAGTCAATACAGATTTTATTGAAATATGACTTCCTGCTTATCATGACGCAAAATGATGATTTTTACGTCATGATAAGCAGGAAGTAAAACACTTAAATCCTTATTTCTCCCATCTCAGGGGAAAATAAGGGAATAAACCATGACCATTCAAAAATATGACTGGGTTTCTAAAGACACAAAGCTTAATGCAAATGGGTGCGGTGTCCCTTTAAAAGCGGTGTTTAGAATGGCGATAAACTGGGCAGTATCTTCTTGGTGTAAAAATAAGCCCTAATAATGTACGTTCTCTTACGCCTGGCCAGATGACGGCGCCAAAAGAGTCGAGCGATTCTCGGATGCTGATCTCCTGCCCGGTGAAGGAAAAGGTCTCGTTGCCAAGGGAGTAGAAGTAACCGGGCTCCCAGGCTTTGCGCCTGTTTAGTGCCTCCTTCTGCATGTCTCTGCCCTCCAGATCTTCTGAAAAGAGCATAGACAGTATAAAAGAGGACCAGTAAAATGTGTCAGTGCATTCATTTGGGTGATCTAATTTGTACGTTTTTGTACAATTTGCTTATCCCCCAATGACGGTTTAGGTTTTTTTTTTTTTTTTTTTTTTTTTTTTTGACATTTCTGTGAGAATCACCAAACTGTGAAATAGTTAGGCTAGGTTTTCTCATGAAATCAGGTTACAAGTATTTGAGGTGAAGTTGTCGAGTTTTAAGTGTTTTGTCACGAGTCCAAGACAAATCTCAGATCTACAAATCCTGTAGGATTGTTGTTGTTATTTTTATCTAAAAAAGTAAAATAAGTTTTAATAGTATACCATAACACACAAAAAAAATGCAAATATGTTACATAATGCATTTTTATTCACTGATTTTTGGATCCCAATGTCATATTTCTCACATATCTCAATTCTCTTCTTATTTACCTTCCTCTGGGTTGTGTGATGGTGGTTTTTCAGGGACTGGTTGCTTCACGATTCCTTTTCTCTGCACATTTAGACCTGTCCTTCCATCTGTCTCCATTACGGTTAATACGGGATCAAGTCCAAATATCTTCACGCTCAGTACTGCTATCATGTTGGAAGAATCACATTTTTAATTCTCAATCAAATTCTCAATAAAACTTTCTCATTACCAGCTAAATGCTTGACTCCAAGCCTCCAGTGCTTCCATAAATGTCTCAGATACATTTTTTTGGGAGTAGTAGTTATTGAATTGAATATCACCCAAAACAAATCCAAGAAAATTCCAATGTAACCCTAAGCTAGCAGTAACAAACAGCAATCAAAGTGAAATCACACTTACATACTGTCTGTCACAAACACTTAGAAACACAAAAACAGACCTGGTGCTTGTCAGCTGAAATCCTCAGGACAAATGTAAAGAAGCAGCATGGAAGCACTATTTAGATACATAGAGAGAGAGTTGCATGCTGTCTCAAAGCCTTTTAATTCCACAGCTCTGAGTACAATCCTCTCCTCAGGGATCACTGATCCCTCTCACTGGTTCCAGAGTTTGCGGAAACACAGAGATGTAGACAGATAAAGGGAAAGGTGGCTGTAGGTATTTGTGTTTGTCCTCATGTTGGATTTTGTTGGGAGACAGTTTCTTTTCAATATCTATCTTATGATCCATGAAGCCATATCCCTTTATAGGCTCTGGCAGATATACTGCAGCCTGTGGAATCTTGGAAGCTGAACTGAATAACCTGCAGCCTATAGCCTGAATGGTATATTAAGGATGATGAACATTTTACTGTCTGAAAGAGTAGGATGACCTAACTGTCAGTTTTACGTAATAGCTGGGATGGAATCAGAATTCAAAATAACCTGAGAGTGGACAGAGAAATCGTAAAGTATTTACAATGTTTAATAAAAGAGTTAAAAAATGCAGTGAATTATCTCCAATCAGTGCAGCAGGATCAAAACGAAAGATATGAAAGTAAATGAGGAAAATTCACACTTTTAAAACAGCAAGTGACTCAGCATTGCTGTATCAGTGTTGAAATATCTGTACCATCTGAAGCAAATACTTTAAAAACGCAATTGACTTTCTCACGTTAGTGCAATAAGGTCATTTTTGGTTGAAACAACATTTCTGTAGAGCATGCACATATTTGGCTACAAGGCCAGGTGACGAGTCTTCATTTCTGACTGAAATGGCTGGAGAGGTTTTGCTTTAGTCACTGTAAATCCTTCACATGACATCCAGTAGTGAAAACACAGCTGCTGAGGTAAAATGGAAAACTGACTCAGCCACTAAGAACAATGTTGGGCATGCCAAAGCAAACTTTAACCCCTTATCCCGGAGTGCATGTCGAACAAAGTGAGAGAAAGGGCGTTAATCCTTAGATATTCTGATAATAATATCTATTATGAACCATTCTGGACAATCTTGGGCTTTAAAGATTCTATAGATCATCTGATCGTCAGCATCCAAGGAGTGGCCGTCAAAACCAAACACTCAAGGTACCTCAAAGGGATTCATTCTTCCAAAATCAGAAGTTTAATGCATAATACTTAAGTGGTGGGAACTAAGCATGTACAGTAAGTTCATTTTAAATTTTCTTGTTAGAATTGTTAAAATCTTAGTAAGGCATTCCTAGTTTTCTATAAATACTGCACTGTAAAATTAATACCCTTTATCTTATCAATAAACTTGTGGCAACAGATTACAAGCAATATTATTAATAAATATTTAAAAAAAAATAGAATTGAGTAATAATTAATCAAATTATTCCTTAAAAGTCAGCCATTTAAAATGAGTAAAGTTTACACCAAAAAAATTAACAAATCTCACTAACAGACAGACGTCAAAGATTAAGAACTATTTATTTTATATTGCCAAAATTGAAGACACCTGATGTTAACAAGCAGGATCACTGAAGGAGAAAACCGGATTTTTAAAACAAACCTTAAAACAAACAAACAAACACTGATCACCATAATGGTGACCTAATTTTATGTTGTTGTTTTTTTGGTTGTTGTAAGTTTTACTCATTTTAAATGGTTAACTTTTAAGGAATTAATTTGATTCATTATTACTCAATTCTAATTTGTTAAATTTAAATAATAATATTGCTTGTAATCTATTGCCACAATTTTTTTGATTAGATAAAGCATATTAATTTTTACAGTGTGTGGCTCTGTGGTGCAACACACATATCATTGCCAAAAGTGATGTCCGGAGGGGATATTTGTTTTTAATGACCCTACAAGTTTCATTAAATTATCAAAATATGAGGAATATATGCATAAAATACAAGGCAAACTACAGCTGAGGTTTCGTTTTACAATGTAAAAAGTGCATATAAACAAAATGATACATTGAGTACAACATAAGTTACTATGTTATTGGTTATCTCTTGTTTTTGCATGTGTTCATAATTTCATAATTTGTATAAAGTTCATAATGTAGAATTCGCACAATTTTGCACGTTTCATTGCTTTCACAAATAAAATAATTAACAATGGGATATCTCTGGATTTCCATGTCCATTTCATATTTCCATCGTTAACATGGTACATTACAGATTATTTAAAATTTGATACTATCTTTCTTGCTGGCAAATGAGTTTAATAAAGGATAAAGCACAACTAGACAATGCATACAAATAAATGTTTAATAAAATTTATTAAAGGGTGATGTCCATTTTTTTTTCATGACCCAGCTGTCAATAACCACTGATTTAAGTCTTCTCTATTCACTCTTTTTATTAATTAATTTATTTATTTAAATGTAAAGTCAAGTTATTTTGCAAGTTTGGTGTTGCAGTGGCAAATAAATTACACACTTCACCTTTAGAACTTCATGCAAAGTTTCCACATTTTTAACATTAGTATTGTCCCAGGGTCCCCCACTGACTTCACAACAAATGCATCTGTCAGACCAAGTGACTCTTTCTTTATCCCATAGATGATGCAAACATGGGGATCTTGGCATTCCTGGGCAGATGATGGGATGGAAAAACAGCCTGCATGGTAGGCTCATGGTGATGAGAGCTATTAGCGTACAAGCGCCTTGCTAAAGCCTCTGTGAAGCTTTAGCGAAAAGCTCTGTGAGGATTTAACATGGAGTTTCCTTTCTGTTAACAGCTAAATGAGTCAACAATTGGCATGACAATTACAGCAGTAAAATATAATAAAAGTCAATTTTATTTAAAAAACCTTTTTACAATAGCAAGTAAACAACGAAATTACTTATATACAAGACAATACAATATTAACACATTTATTTTTTGTAAACCATGGCAAATTTAACAAAACAATTTGATTACGGCATAGCCCCTTTAAATTACTTTTTAAAAATTGCAATAATAATAATAAATATTATTATTATTATTTACATTTTCTTCATAAAAGTCACTGTAAAGCAGGTTAGGTTAACCTCCAGGCTGTCTAAAGTGGATTGAGGATTTTGCATGGTACATCATTGAACACCAGATCACCTGAAAAGAAAAAAACAAATCTTTGTTGAACTAATAAAACAGATCATAAAAATAAATAAAGCATCACTATATATAAATTAAATGAAACCCTTGGATTTTCTCAGTATCTATCTCTACACAATTCTCCTCCACAAGTCCACCTCCCTGTGGACAAATCACCACATTACAATCATCATTCAATACAGCCTCTAAGTTTACATTACACTTTACACTGGCTTGGTGAAGGCAACTGGCAACAGTGACTGTGAACACTGCAGCATTGAAAGCATTTGGGCAAATATGCTATTATCAGACATGTTTCCTAACAGTCAAAATCATCTGAGGTGGCTTACCAGTCTGTAATGTCAGTCTTCGTTCCCTTCATGGTTCCATTACTTCTTCCGGATTATCATCCACAATATAGTCAGCCTCAAGTGTAGCCTCCTCTAATAAATTTTCCTCTTTTTCAGATTCCACCTTCATATCCATCTCAGCTACAGACTCTAACTCTTCTACAGGTTTCTCTACAGGTTCCTCTGGTTCCTCTGCAGGTTCCTCTACAGGGTCCTCTGGTTCCTCTGCAGGTTCCTCTACAGGCACGTTGTTTCTGTTCATCTGAACAGGCTCTAGTTCTGTCTCTGGTGTCTCTTCATTTATATAATCTGCCGCTAGCAAAGGTTCCTCCACTATTACTGAATTCTCTTCTGTTTCTCGGTGTTCCTCCATTGTCTCTGGTTCCTGTATATCTGCAACAGGTTCCTCCTGCATCAGAGGACCTTGTTCTTCTTCAGTCAGATCATCTTCCTCCATCACAGGTTCCTCCATTCTCAATGACATCTCTTGTTCCTCTATTGTCTCTGGTTCCTGTATATCTGCAACAGGTTCCTCCTGCATCAGAGGACCTTGTTCTTCTTCAGTCAGGTCATCTTCCTCCATCACAGGTTCCTCCATTCTCAATGACATCTCTTGTTCTTCTATTGTCTCTGGGTCCAGCACATATACGATGGATTCCTCCTGCATCAGAAGACCTTGTTCTTCTTCAGTCAGATCATCTTCCTCCATCACAGGTTCCTCCATTCTCAATGACATCTCTTGTTCCTCTATTGTCTCTGGTTCCTGTACATCTGGAACAGGTTCCTCCTGCATCAGAGGACCTTGTTCTTCTTCAGTCAGATCATCTTCCTCCATCACAGGTTCCTCCATTCTCAATGACATCTCTTGTTCCTCTATTGTCTCTGGTTCCTGTATATCTGCAACAGGTTCCTCCTGCATCAGAGGACCTTGTTCTTCTTCAGTCAGATCATCTTCCTCCATCACAGGTTCCTCCATTCTCAATGACATCTCTTGTTCTTCTATTGTCTCTGGGTCCAGCACATATACGATGGATTCCTCCTGCATCAGAAGACCTTGTTCTTCTTCAGTCAGGTCATCTTCCTCAATCACAGGTTCCTCCATTCTCAATGACATCTCTTGTTCCTCTATTGTCTCTGGTTCCTGTACATCTGGAACAGGTTCCTCCTGCATCAAAGGACCTTGTTCTTCTTCAGTCAGATCATCTTCCTCCATCACAGGTTCCTCCATTCTCAATGACATCTCTTGTTCTTCTATTGTCTCTGGTTCCTGTATATCTGCAACAGGTTCCTCCTGCATCAAAGGACCTTGTTCTGCTTCAGTCAGATCATCTTCCTCAATCACAGGTTCCTCCACGCTCACTGGCGTCTCTTCTCTGTGTTCCTCTGTTGTCTCTGGCTCCAGAACATCTGCAACTGGTTCATCCTGCTTCAAAGGACCTTGTTCTACTTCAGTCAGATCATCTTTCTCTTTCACAGGTTCCTCCACGCTCACTGGTGTCTCTTCTCTGTGTTCCTCAATTGTCTCTGGCTTCAGAACATCTGCAGCTGGTTCATCCTGCTTCAAAGGACCTTGTTCTGCTTCAGTCAGATCATCTTTCTCTTTCACAGGTTCCTCCACGCTCACTGGTGTCTCTTCTCTGTGTTCCTCTGTTGTCTCTGGCTTCAGAACATCTGCAACTGGTTCATCCTGCTTCAAAGGACCTTGTTCTGCTTCTGTGTGCTGTACTGTTGGTTCTTTTTCAACCACTGGCAAAACATCGGCTTTGACCGCATGATCAAAAGGCAAATCTTTAAACGGCAGCGTTTTATCCTGAACTGGTGGACTGGCGGAAGCTACAGAGTTGCAATGAGAAAGTAATGATGTTAATAAATCTTGCCATTAAATATAGTTATTCACCTCTTTTAGGATTTTTTTTTTAACATTTAGCTTGCATATTCTAAGCTGTCAGTAATAATGACTACTTCCACATCAACAACAAACTTTGTTTACTGCAAATAGGACAAACTTTTAATTATTAAACTAACAGAGTTATTATTAAATGTATATTTGAATGATGGTATAACTAGAGCACACATCATACCTGTTAAGGTGAGAACCAGCAAAAGTAATTTTCTCATCTTGCCAAAAATCTCCAAAGAGTTGCTTTCTGAAAGAGACAATTTTACGATATTAAAACCAATGTAAACCAACCAGTTATTTTAGTATGTTTAAAGTAAGATTAGAATTCATAAAATTAAAATTCATAAAACATAAAATTATTTTTATGGAAGGATTCCACTACACTGGGAGAAACGTTATTAAATGAGCGATTTAATTAAAGGTACACTATGTAACTTTCGGCCCTCTAGTGGTGAAAAAACTAAACTGAACATTGTTTTGGTTGTTCTTCGGCTCTACGTGATTGTGCGGATGAATAAGTTTATTTTTTATAACTAGAGAGAGAGAGAGAGATTATACTACTTATAAATCATTCACTAAAAGGCAATAACCAGGTTGGAACCAGGTTAGACCAGACTATGGCTAAACTATGGCTTTTATCTGTTCAATAAAATACCTCACTTGCCTGTTGAGTAATAAAACATCATCTCCGCGTTGCTTTTACAACATTTTAAATTCCTTATCGTTATCTTGAAAAAGCCAAGCCAATGCACAAAGAGTGCACATGTAAATTCATGAGAATAAACAGACGGAAAACTGAGCTGGTCTGAGTTTATTATAAAATGTAAGACAAAAATAATGTTTTCGGACATGAAGTATAGATGTTATCTTTTTTTGGCTGTAAATTAATCACTAACTGCCAATAATCTAAGCCACTGGGAGACCGCAAACGGCTGTCATTCACTGTTGCACACTCTGCAAGAATTGTATCTTAATTTCACAGCTTCAAAGTCATTTCGGTGGTAAACTCATAGTAGGGCGAATCATCCTGATAGTAAAGCTTGGTGGGGACGCCGCTGGAAAAACCAGCAATGCAAGTTTGAGAGGAGTGCCCCCGACAAATCTTGCGAGAATCGCGACATGCTTTACGGCAACGACATCACGCGCATCAACCACAACATGAAGCACGAAGACACTTTTCAAGACACTTTCAGACGTGATACTCGATGATGAAAAAAGCATTGAAAATGCGGTCAGAAGAGACAAGCAAAAGGAAAAGAGAATGAACCCGTAAATAAATGCTTCAATCCACAAGTTTTGAGTTCTTTAATGGTCTAGTGGTAGATCTTTAGTCAAGCGTGTCAGAGGTTACAGGTTCTAAGTTGTTTCTCTCTCATCAAAACTGAATATGTTTTACAGTCAGTGGTTACAGTCTATATCAAGCAGGGACACATTTTTGTGCATTTTATTTTGCGATTTCACTGAAATGAATATAGAGTCTCCGCATCTGCGATAGATTGAAGAGCGCATCTGAGGGAAGACAGCGTGCCGCCACAAGAGACACTAGGTATCCATTACACTGATAGTTGAGTTCAAAAACACATTTTAGCGCTAGATTTCTTATTTAATGCAAAAAATGCACACAATGCAAAATTTGTACGTTAATATAACAGCTTCAAATGGGTATCAGGCTGTGAGTGCAGAGATGCTCTGCGTGAGACATTAAATACAAGTGAAGAGTTCAGATGCAAAAGCCTCTAAGTGCCATTTGAAATTTTCTTCTAAAATTATCATTTTTATCAAGCTTGTATATTTAAGTTCAGTAATTTCACTTAAATGGCAATGAAGATTACCTATTAATTGTCATTTAAGTGAAATTACTGAACTTAAATATACAAGCTTGATAAAAATGGTCATTTTTAGAAGAAAATTTCAAATGGCATTTAGAGGCTTTTGCATCTGAACTCTTCAAGTACTCCACAGCGCCTCTAGGGGTCGCTGTTTGACAAAAACGGAATTCCTGCATAGTGTGCCTTTAATAAAAAGCCAGTTAAAGGTGGGGTAGGTAGAAATTTTCTAAAAACAAAACAAAAACAAAACCATGAAGTATAGATGTTATTGCAGCACTAAGAGGACTACAGACACACGATTTGTATACTTTCTTTTTCAGAGTACTTACATTTTAATTATGTATTGGTATACATAAACTGTTTAAACAAATTTGGGAAAACGTTTTTTGGAAAATATCGACCTACCCCGCCTTTAATTTAAAGATTTGTAAGGAAAAGTATATTTCCAAAATTAAGTTTTAATAGTCGTTCTGGTACCGTGGGGGCGGGGAAATGTGTGACACAGCATGCGCTGTTAGACCGTCTCATTCTATCATTTACAGAGCCAGACAGTAACAGAGTACATTTACTTGAGTACAGTACAATTTTGGGGGATCTGTACTTTACTCGAGTATCATTTTTGGGGAGTACTCGTGACTTTACTCAAGTACATTTGATAGGTAAATGTTGTACTCTTTACTCCACTACATTTCTATTCATAACCCCCCTGAGTACACTTTACTACTTTAAAAAAAAAGAAAAAGAAAATGGAAAAAGTAAAATTCAGAAACCCTCAATTTGTTGTTTCCCTCTCAAACGGGATAGGATTGTGCATGTGCCACTGATTGGGACAGCCTATCAACAATCACCTTCAGCTTTCCGCCAAAGTCAACTTCATGGTCAGATTTAGATAAGAGACAAAACAATGAATGAAGACGCAGCAGGTCCATCCCCGTAATGTGCCAACTCGTGGCCCCACCTCGCCAGACTATTTCAATTTTCTGAAATTTTCTTAAATGTTAAATAAAGCAGCATGGTAAAAAGATAAAAAATTACTTGATTTTACCTTATACGGCATTGACTTTAACATTTTTCATAACTTCATGTAGGACGTTTCTATAAATAAATGTACTTGGCAGTAGTAATGCAATATTTAGAAAATGTAAAACTTTTAAAAACAAGTACTTCAGGACTTAAGTACTTAGACATCTGACTGTAGTACTTTTACTTGTACTTGAGTAAAATTTAGCAAGCGGTATCTGTACTTTTAAGTAATAAAGCTGTGTACTCTGTCCGCCTCTGAGCATTTACTTGCTGAAGAGGACACATACAAGCCTCACTGAATGGGACGCTGTCTCGGTAGGCTGCAGCCTTCCGTTTGAGAAACACCCAATGTAGCCGGAGCAACTTTCTCCATTTACGGACATAAGATACACAATTTCTCCTGAAAACCATCCTTCTAAAGGTCTAAAATATAATAACAGGCTCATAATAAATCATGTTTTGGAAGAAGGACTGATGATGAATTGACTGATTATTTTAATTTTGTTAATTTTGAACAAAAATGTTACAAAGTGTACCTTTAAGTTAACATCACTGAATTTGAAACAAAATCAAACAATTATTTTCAAACTAAATCACTGCAAGATATGAAAGAAAGAAAGAAAGAAAGAAAGAAAGAAAGAAAGAAAGAAAGAAAGAAAGAAAGAAAGAAAGAAAGAAAGAAAGAAAGAAAGAAAGAAAGAAAGTTTTTCTTCAGAAATATGTGGTGGTGGTTATTCTTACCTGTGTTGATTTGTCTGTATTGACTCTTCACTTGTGTTTTTCTCAATGCTGTGGGATCAAATCAGTGCGTCTTATAAAATACATTATTTACAACCCTTTTTAACCTTTGTCTTGTCACGTTTATGCGAGTACAATAGCTTTTGCCATCACATGCTTCAACACGTTCTATGTTTATCTAAATAACATCTCAATATATTTCATTATTGTTTGATTTCCTTGCTTTTGAGGATCACTTCCTTATGAGATATACAAAGTTTAGAGATGGGATTCTTTCTTTCTTTCTTTCTTTCTTTCTTTCTTTCTTTCTTTCTTTCTTTCTTTCTTCTTTCTTTCTTTCTTTCTTTCTTTCTTTCTTTCATTCTTTCTTTCTTTCTTTCTTTCTTTCTTTCTTTTAAATTTATTTGACCTAGTTTGAAAACAAATCTCCCCCCACACACACATAATAACAGTGGAGTGGTGCGTTTTGGTTGGGCACATGTGTGTGTAACATACACGTGTGGATTTGACATCAGCACAACAACTGCTGTGGACAGGTGTTGATGCCATGTCATACTGAGGAAAGGAATACTGTGGATAAAGCAGCTGTCAAAAGTTTCATACCCACAAGAGTGTGGGGTCTCAAAATCAACATCCATGAACAATGCATCCCTGTTCCGGAAACCTTAACCCATAGCAGTGCAAAACAACATATTATCTCTCTCATGCTATCTTAATTGCACATTGTTCAGATTTATTACAGACAAATCAGTTGTATTCAGCCAAACATTTCCCTGAAAGGGAAGCTCATAAAACGTGAAGCCAAACTGCAGAACTTGTTTACCACAAAATTACCATTGTACTGTCCAATGTACAATGGTAATTTGATGGTAAACAAATCCTGCAGTTTGGGTTCACGTTTTTTGAGGGTGATTAAATTATGACAAAATTCCCCTTTTTGGGTGAACCCTTCAAGGATACTATCCCTTCTTGATCTAGAGTTTGCTTTAACTGTTACCCAATCGTTAAGTTGATTCAGTCATAGTATTTAAACCAAAACCAAACTAAAGGTTCCGAATTTGATGCAATTTTATAGACCAAATCTGATTGTGTATAGCACAAAACTTCATTACAGTAATATAGACTATTGTCATAACTATAAGTAAACTATAAATAAACTGTATAAAAACTATAAAGTAGTAAACTGAAAATGTGGGAAAGATATATAGCCTATTGTTTTAATAGGCCTAGTTTTACAGAAATAACAATATCTATCTATCTATCTATCTATCTATCTATCTATCTATCTATCTATCTATCTATCTATCTATCTATCTATCTATCTATCTATATATATATATATATATATATATATATATATATATATATTATTTGTAGAAAAAAGACAAAAGGGACAATATATAGCCTATCAATGAACATTTTTCGCAAATGTAAATATGCCAGATTATAGCCATAGGCTAATTTCCATCTTACACCCAAGCGGGAAGATGTTACACAAAAATAAATATACACACAAATATGAACAGGCTATAGAGAAGCAAGGACAGTTAGTGATCATAACATCTATTTGGACAAGCCATATTTCACTGACCCCTTTTACACAACCCATGCTAAACTAACTTCTATTACACAACCCATATCACACTAATAATTCGCTTAAAAACATCATAGATTTTTGATGTTGTAAATGTCGCTCACATGCAAAGCAACGACACATGTCTCAGAGCATCTGCGGCGTGCTCGCGCAGCGTTCTGATGAGAGCGCGCAAACCATCTTGAAGAACTCCCGAAGAGCGAGAAACACATCAGACTCTCCACGCGCCGGACAATCTGAAGATGAGCACAACACACATACTAACCTTTCCCGCTCTTCTCATGCTGCTCTACAGTAAGTATATTGATGATACTTGTATTTCTCATATCCGATGCTCTTTATGTGGTGTGTCGTGTTCTGGACGTTTTAAAAGAAAGAATTTTTGATTCTGGCTGAAACGGTGGGAATTCCGAGGGGTGAGTTGTAAAACACAGATCCTAACTTTCATTAATAATTTGAATCTACATTTAGCCCCGTTAATGATAAAGACTAGATATGAAATTCGCTGTTACACAGAATATATAAAAAAGTTATTTTACAAATAAGATTTAATTTATCTTTTTAATTTAAAAAAAATTTTAATTACATGTTTTATTTTATTTGTGTCTTGACATGAATGATTGTGTGTGTTCTTGTGTGTGTGGTTTAGGCAAATACGTTATTTAGACAAAATTTATTTATTTTTTTGTTTTGTTTTTTTTTGGTCCCCATGAGGAAAACAGCTTAAAATCATACAAGTAATGTTTTTGAAAATCTAAACATGCACAACGTTTTCTTTTAGGGGTAGAAAATACATTTTGGAATGTCCCCATAAAACATGAAAACTTATGATGTGTGTGTGTGTGTGTGTGTGTGTGTGTGCTTTTTCAAAGGGAGATGGATGCTTTGAGGGTCTGGATATAATGGGTGGGGGTCTTGTAAGACACTGTGTTTACACAAACTTCTTAAACAGCATTTGAACACATGCGATCCTGAAGGTGATAAAGTGTCTGTGTGAAGAAGCTGTCCAGATCTGAACTTCAGTCTGATGTGGCATGCAGGGACCCTTTCATGTGGCTGATGCCCCTTGCCTGACTCCTTGTGTATTGGTCATTATCATGAAGATTATGGTTACCCGGCATACCATGAGAAATTCTTGCTTCCACCCAGTCTAGAGAGATACAGTAAATGTTTTACAAATTATGTAGCAATTTACTTTTTCTATAGGTGTAAATGTGATAAATGTAGCTAACATGTTAGGCTAACTTTCACAACATTGATTGGCTTTATTCTGATATTCTAACCCTAACCTTTTATTCAGAGTGCTAGTTAGGGTTGTTAAACCTTGTGGGGTGGTCTGTGATTTTAACTCAGTCCTGTTTTTCTAGCTGAAGGGGTTTTAAGTTACAGCAGCACAGTACGTCTTTGTATCTCTGGGTAAAAAGACTCTCCACACTCTTTCTCTCTATAGTCACATTTGAAACTCAGTTCTTTTGGGCTAAAGGGAGCTACACAGATAAAAGGAAATTATTTCCCCTCACTTTCTCCAGAACTGCATGTTTTTGAGTGTGTGTGGAGGTTATCAGGCCTGGTTTGTACACCCCCCACAGCCAGACTGTGTCAGAAGAACATCCATCCATTACGTAAATTCCTATACATCCCTGTTCCTGGCACCACCAGAGCAGGGGTGTTAGTGAGGTTTCACAACTTCAGTGTGTTTTAACTTCCCTTCACTATACTTCTTATTTACTTAAATATTATATAGCAGGGGCATAATTATAGAAAACTTGTAACACTTTCCTAAAAGGTTCCATTAATTAACAGTTAATGCATGAAAGGAGTAGTTCACTTTTGAAAAAACTTTTGCTGATAATTTACTCACCCCCATGTCATCCAAGATGTCCACGTCTTTCTTTGTTCAGTCGAAAAGAAATTAAGGTTTTTGATGAAAACATTCCAGGATTTTTCTCCATATAATGGACTTCAGTGGGAACCAAACGGTTCAAGGTCCAAAAAACACTTTCAGTGCAAACTGCAAACTGTTGAAAGGGCTTTAAACGATTCCAGACAATGAATAAGGGTCTTATCACGTGAAACGATCATTCATTTAAAAAAAAACAACAACAAAGTTTAAGTTTTATAAGCTCAAATGTTCGCCTTGCTCTTTACTGCGATGCACGTTTGTGACTCTCCTGTTCAAACTCAAACTTTTTCCAAGTCAATTCGTTCGTTTCGTTCATTGGATGAACCAGATGACTCGGAAAAAAGATTCGTTCATTTTGATAAATGAGTTCGAACAGGAGAGTCACAAACGTGCATCACAGAACAGAGCAAGAAAAATCTTGAATGTTTTCATCAAAAACCTTAATTTCTTTTCGACTGAAGAAAGGAAGACATGGACATCTTGGATGACATGGGGGTGAGTAAATTATCCGCAAAAGTTTGTTCAAAAGTGAACTACTACTCCTTTAACTAATTTGAGCAATGAACAAGAGCAACGAGCAATGAATAAGCCCAGGTCCATTAAGTATTATTAAAAGATACAACCTTTGTTTTTAATAATGTATTAGTAAATGCTGTTTACAATAACCTAATATTAATACATGGTTTAGAAGTACTTTTCAATAGTTTATGTTAACTATTATTAACTAAAGGTTAGAACCTCGTTGTAAAGTAATCTAACATTCACTCTTGATTAAAGAAATCTCATTTAAAGGAATGTTTGTGATTACACTGTTACATTTCTGTATGACTTTTACAGAAAAAAAAAACAAAACAAAAAAAAAACAGTAACTACGGTGGGCATTCTATTAAATTTTCAGAAGCAACTATTTAACACTTTAACTTTAAAATGATCAAATCAAATAATTTTCAAATAAGAGCTGTGAACACAGATGATTCTGGAAATGTCAATTTATGTTTTCTTCCAGTTATTCCAGACTCACTTTCACAACCAAAAACTGTATATTGTGTTTTACTGTAAAATTACATGAAATTAGATATATTGTTTTTCACTGTATAGTCAGTAATGTACAGTAAACAATGAACAGCTTTTTACTGTAGCATTTTAGTCTTTTACTGTTAAAATTAGGATGTTTTACTGTGTAAGTGTAGCTATATGAACAGCACATCACTCTTAAAAATAAAGGTTGCAGAGGTTTCTTTCTTTTTTCCACAGTAATAGACCAATTTGCAAGTTGTAAACAACACTGGTCCAGAAGCACTTCCTGTTTCAGTTTTTTAACACTACATAAAAGCTGGGATAAAATACAACCAACAGAACATACAACTGAATCAAAAAGTTAAACAAACATCTTTAAGATGTTTTCTTTACATGTGAATTAAAGAAAACAGTTACAAACTGAAACAGGAAGTGCTTCTGGACCAGTGTTGTTTACATCTTGCAAAATGGTCTACCATAGAAGAACCATTTTTGGTTCCTCATAGAAACCATTTGTATCTTAGTGTGAACCATTCCCCACTAGAGAACAGAAATGAAAGGTTTAAAGGATTTTAGGTTGTTCATGAAAACCATTAGTGCCAATAAAGAACCTTTAATTTTTAAGGGGCAAAATTTCAATTCACCCTCAGTAAAAAACAAAAACTTCATGGGCCAAACAGGCTATAATGATTCATAGTCTGTCATTGTAGGTGGATTTTTTTCCCCCTACAAACTAAGTTTGCTATTATAAAAAATGCTGTGGGAGAGTGTTACAACATTCATGTGTTTGTTTGTATCTTTTCTATCCTCCAGTTCCTAGCTCAGATCCAGTGACTGTGACGACAAACAAAGCAAAAGTGGAAGTACATGAAAACACAAGTAAGTTCTTTAGTCTTCAGATAATCAGCTGGACGTGTTTAAAAGCTTTCAGACCATAATGTGACACTTTTATCTGTTCTTTCCAAAGATGCTGTCCTTTCCTGTGAGTTCAGGACAGAGAAAGAAACAAACCCACGTGTTGAATGGAAGAAGAGAGGCAAAGAGGTTTCATATGTTTATTTTGATGGCGATTTTACAGGTTTGTTGTTGTTTAGCCCATTCACCCAATTTTTAAACAGTCCCTCATCTCTCTTATTCGTATATAGCTTTACTTTAGATATTTTATGAAATATTTTCAAAGAAGATCACACACACTTAAATTTTACAAGTAAAAAAGGTCCATTGTCAGTTGTGTAATGATGATTTATGAAGCTCAAACAGAAGTCACTTTAAAACCAAGCAGCTCTTTTTCAGGCGATGCTGAACCCATTGCAAAATCTGTGTTGGGAAATCTTTCACCCTCATTTGCACAGATTCCTATTGAAATGACTAGTTTTCGTCCACGAAACTCGGCCAAGCAATTGTACTGCACCCTAACAGTGTTTCAGTGAACAGTACTTTCATTCACACAGTATGTTTTTTTTTCCGAATGTTCTGACTTACTCTCACCATTTCCAGGTGCATTTAAGAGCCGTGCGTCCATCGACGGGGCAACAATGACCCTCCGTGGTGTCACACAGAAAGACTCGGGAGTGTATCATTGCGAAGTCACAGCCCGCCAAGACAAAATCAAGCTGGGGGAGGTCACCGTCACCCTCATTGTGCTAGGTGGGAATGAAAATCTTGTACATTTACTTTTATTATTTTCATGTGCAGCAAATGATACACTCTTAAAAATAAATTTTCACAGCAATGTCATAGAAGAACTACTTTTGGTTCCCCAAAGAACCTTTCAATAAAAAGTCTGAATAACCTTTATTTTTAAGAGTGTAACGCCTTGTCTTTAATCTAACCTTGCTGTCAGTGAGCTGTATGATCTGTCTTACATGGACAGTGCCGCCACATGCGCCGTCATGCGAGGTTCCAGAAACAGTCATGAAAGGATTTTCTGCGGAGCTCCACTGTAAAGACAAACTCAGCGTTCCTGCTGCCACCTACAGCTGGTACAAAGACAACAAACCACTGAACACTGGCAAGATCGCTGAAATCAACTACACCCTGGACCCCAAAACAGGGACTCTGGTTGGTGTAGTGCTATAGCCTCTTTCCATCACATGGGCAAACATTTTGATAAAAACATTGAACTTCCTGTTATTTTTTCCCTTGATTGCTAACAAACGCTGCTTATTGTTTGGCTTTGATGCCTTTTTGGCATATGCGATTTATATACAGTGTTTTTTTTTTTTTCTTTGAACAGAAATTTAAGACGGTATCACAATCTGATGAGGGGCAGTATCGATGTGAGGCATCCAATGGAGTGGGGGCACCCAAAAGCTGTGCAGGCCAGCATATGAAGATTACTGAATGTAAGTTAATGACAAATTGATAATTTAAAGAAATCAATTATACTTAAATTAAAATGTACAAAGAGGGCATTTAGATCAAACTCTTAAAGGTACAGTGGCAAAAAAAAAATATATATATATTATTTTCATTTGGGGGTCTAGTGACCCTAATGAAAAAAATATATAAAAATGTATTTAGAATACATTTATTTCATACTAAGTATACAGTGTTGGGAAAGTTCACTTTTTACATGAACTAGTTCAAAGTTCAGTTCACACATTTTGAAATGAACTAGTCCAGTTCATAGTTCATACTTCAAAAAATTAACTAGTTCAGAGTTCTTTTTTTCCATATGTTTCAAGCTTCGTTTAATTTTTCTTTTAATTATTGCCACAGCCCATATACAACCACAGACAACAATTATTTTATCGACGGGCAAAGTTTGCAAAGAAACATAAGATTTTTCCCATCCTCACTGACCTCGTCATAAATAAATGATCAATCTAAAAAACATTTAGTACAAAATTACTTGTTCCAATTTAGCAGACTATGCCAACAGCACAATTGCAGGGTTTTTAAATTAAGTACATAAATATGTAGATATATTTGTAGTATACTAATACATTTTGGTGTATTAATTTTTCACTAGGGAACCCCCAAAAATATTAATAGTAATTTCAAAATTAACCTCCCTTTTTCCCTTAAAGGTCCTATGGGCTAATTTAAACCCTGAAAAACCCTAAATTCCCCTCTGTATTACCTCAAACTAAGTAGAAATGTGACTGGCATCTACACAACACAACAGACGTTTCAAACGTTTTAGGTCACAACACAACAGATGAAACGTTTTAGGTCAGTAAGACATTTTTTTGGAAATAAATTAAGACTTGAGGATGCAAATTGATCGAAAGTGACAGTATAGACATTTATTATGTTGAAAAAGATTGCTGTTTCAAATAAATTATTATTTTTTTTTAACTTTCTATTTATCAAAGAATCCTGATTTGAATATTGGTAATAATAATAAATATTTCTTCAACACAAAATAAGCATATTGAAATATTGGAAGTTGGAGTAATGGCTGCTGAGAATTCAGATTTGCCATCACAAGGATAAATTACATTTGAAATTTGAAATGTAATTATAATATTTCAAAGTTTTTTTTTTTTTTTTTTTTTTTACTATTTTTTGAATAGTGGAGCCCAGCAATAACATTCTGTAGTGTAGGGGAGAACGGGGCACAAAACCTAACACTTTTGACTAGTTTGTATAAATCCACTTGGGGTTCAGATAATTATTTATTTCCCACATTAATTTCCCACATGTCTAGTGCAATTATGTGAATTTTGTCCAGTGCAATTATGTGAATTTGTTTCATTAATACGGTATGTACTTTTTTCTTGATTTTACCCCAAAAGAATGGAAGTGAAATGTGACAACATGCCCCATAGTACATATGTAACATGACCATATGCTATGATTAATGCCCTTATGACCCCATTGCATATCTGTTTGACATGCTCTGTTGCAGTTGAGCTGAACATGACAATAGTTATAGCATTAGAAGTGGGAGCGTTCCTGTTGCTTCTCTCGTGCTGTGTGTCCATCTGTGTGTGCTGCAGACGAGGGTGCTGTCGACGCTGCCGCAGTGAGTGATGCTTCCTTCAAAACAGTATATGGACTGTTAGGGAACTTACCTGTTTATAAACCGAAATGTGTCTTGTCTTCATCTACTGACATAAGTCTTGCATTTACCAACAGAGAGTAAAGGAGAGACAATACAAAGGTAAGTCTTTTACAGTGCTTTAATGCACACTAACAAGAATAAAACATATCAGACCAATTGAAACAAAGTGTTTTTTTCTTTTCACTTTTCAGCAGAACAAAGACCAGCTGTAACCATCCAACAGATGTAAGTCTTTAAGTTTCCTTTTAATAACTTAATAGTCAAATGGTATAGTAATGTCAGTGTAGAGACTTCTGTTTAAAATAATGGCTGGTCTTCATCAGAATGTTCATCTCTCTCCTCAGCCGAGACACTACAAACATACCCAATCCTTTGTGCTTTGAAGAGTGTGCACATTTTGGACAGCTTCATGCTGACAGAAGTGAATTCAATTGACCTCAAAGGCTAGAGAATGAAATATTACATCGAATAAGCCTCTATTATCTCTGCCTTGCTCTTATGGACCATGAGAACAGAAACACGCCCCCTGGTGGTGAGATCTGATTACAGTGGGACCATCCACAAAAGACCTAAAGTTATTCTCTGCTGTTACTCTTTTACTACTGTAAAAAGCTTTTTTTTTTTTGGATACTGCGTATTATTATAATATTATTTGGACTACCTAGTGTATAGATACTGTAAAAATGTTGTACTATTGTATGCCAGATTTGTCCAACGCAGGTTACAGGCAATGGTTTCAATCACCAAGCCACTGAGCATAAAGGCCCAATTACAGATGTGATGGTCCACTTGATTCGAGCCGAAACAAGCTTGACTTGTCTCAGGATGTCTCTAAAGTCTATTAATCATCATACAACTGGATGGACAAACAACCGAGACATTTCTCATAATATCTTATTTTACATTCCACAGAAGAAACAAAGTCAAATATGCCTGGAACAATAAAAGTGAGGCTACATGATGGCAGAATATGGCACGAACTATTTGTAGCGTGCACAGAAAGCCAATAGACAGAAAATTCCTTTCAGCAAGATCTGCACACTTATCTTTTAGTAACAGAAGAAGTTTAAACTAATCTTACACTTTTCAGACATAGTGATAACCACACTGTAGAGTTAAACAATGTGTTTGAGCTTATTTAACTGTTTGGTTTATCCGATTTGTGGCTCAAATGAACCAATAATGTCACCAAAAACGAAATGTTTTTTTTTGGGTATTTTGTTACATTATCTCAAGAAAATGCAAAATTCAGACTTCACTGCAATATCTATTCCTCTTTGTACTCAGAATAAATGACTTTAGTATACACTTTCACTGTTAAATAAAGAAATGCACAGATCAGTTTTCCAAGTTGTTTATTTAATCATTGGTTTCAAGGCATCGATAAAAGTCACATCCAAAATCAGTTTTATACAACAGGGTGAGACATTTATTTCTTTGCTGGAAACATTTACTTGAAGCGTCACAGGGCTGTAACGTTAGTCTCAATCAGCTTGTGAAGAATTCAAAACACTTTATAATACAATGTGTCTTATTCGACAAATATGCACAAACAAAATAATTTGTTGGAGCACTCGAGGACATAGTAAGTTACATAACGCAAGAGAATAGACAATTAAATAAAAAGGATTAAGAATAAAATAAATACCTAAAAAAATAAACAGTACCATTAGGCTACATTAAGATGGATCAGAAGGCTGATTTCCAGATGTGACGTTTCACAATATGCAACTGTATAAATATAAATATGCAAGTATTTTCACACTTCGGACACTGAGAAAGTCAACGCCTTCTAAATCTGCTGCGGACTATTTAGTACAACTAATCAAATAAATACCCATATGTATTATGAAATATTGTGGAAAAACTGCAGAGCGGGGTGTACATGTTGCTGTCAGTGGGCAGCGAGGCCTCCAGCTCATCCTCCCCGCCCCCAATGCAATGTTGACCAAAAACCAGCATGAACATTCGCTCAACTTACTAACACACACACTAAACTATAGCCCTTGACACACAGCTTTAGTCCGAAAAACTCCAACACAGCACTTACTGAACGGGATAAAGAGGTACGTTGGGCCGCGATACTAAATTATCTGAGACAAACACGGACAGAAATAGGAATGTTACAAGTGTGTGAGGTTATAAGCGTGTCAGTTTTCCCGCTTTCTGCGCGAGCTAACGTTAACTGTTAGCATCCTGAGGGGAAACAGAGCTAGCTGGAGTGCTAACAGAACTGACAATAACCCAGCCCTCTCACACCCGACAAACAGTAGGTAAAGATATCAGTATATTTTATTCTGGGTATTTTAAAATACATCTATTTTATCGAGAGTTGTTGTTTATGTGTATAACTCGGTCGTAAAAAACAGATCCGCGAGTTTTAGTAAAAGTTAGCGCGAGCTGTTCGCCTGAGCATAGCAGCTATATTCAGTTCAACCAGGCGTGTCTCTCTCTGTCTTTCGTCAGCATACGCTAAGCAGCTAACAGAGAGGCCAGGTATACATACATATTCCTTTCATGATTGTACCTTCTGTAGATATTATATTCCGCATAATTAAACACCGTGATGTTTCCGTTCGTTTCTTCAGTCGCACGGGTGTTTTCGGAAGTCTTGTCAGCCGCCGTGACTTCGGCCAGGATTTCCGGCTGCTTTTACATCTGCCCTTCTCTTGTTTTGTTTCCGTTTCTTCCATTTCCGTTTTAACTTTCCAGAATCAAAAGTCTTGATGTGTAGCTACCCCTGAAAGTTTCAGAAGTTTTAAAAAGTCGTCTTTTACGCCCAAATCTGCGGTTATATTACGAAACCCAAAAGCATTCCAACATGGCAACTGCGTTTGTATGGATTCGCGCGTCGTCTTCCCACCCAGTCGCTGGTGGAAATTATGTTAATAAAATATTGCGTTTAAATCCACACACTAAAATAAAAATGAGATTGATCAAATTAATGGCATATTTAATAATAAGTGCGGTCTTTTGTGTTTATTAAGACGCTAATGTAATGAAAATGCCATGGTGGGCCTCTACTCTAGCAAAGCCTCGGTGTTGCCTGAGAGTTTATGAGACTTCAGAGACTTCTTTCACAGCCTGAGTGCGTTAAGCTGACCATTTGGTGCATTTTGGCTCACATTTAGATGTTTCATATTACATAACTGTAAATTAAAATGCTAGAAATGATTTTAAATAAAGGTTTATTTACAAGATTATAAGTATGAGATAATGTGGTTAAACTTACACAATAAAGTTTTTATTTGTTACCTTTAGTTACCATATAAACTTAACAACGACGAAAACTTATACACTGCAGCATTTATTAATCTTAGTCAGTGTTTGCTAATGCATATGTTAACTATCACGAAAATAAATAAATATTTATATTTTTATTAACTAATTTAACTTTAACAAAGACTATACACACACAGTAAACAAATCTACTGTGTGTTGTCAGTTCAAGATTAGCTAATGCATTAAGTAATATTAACAAAGGAGACCTTATTGTAAAGTGTTACTGATAATTATATACTTTCTTGTGATTAAATTCATTGCAAAAAAATATTTTTCTTTTTTTTAAATGCATTTGCTTCATAGTTGGACAAGGAGTTGTAGGGATGTCAAAAAGTGAGACAGAGGAGATGATTGAAATTGAGATTGATGGACGAGAGAAACAAGAGTGTTTAGAGGAAGGGTAAGTGATCTTTCTCATCCTTTGTTCCCTATTAATGTGATATGTTTTGAGGAGTCATCTCATTGAGCAATGTTTATCTTGTTCCTGCGAAATTTTACATTATTTTTGTGACCAAATGTCAGGATTGATGAGCAAACGATCACCGCAGCTGAACTGATTACTCAAGACATTGACATCAATGAGCCGATCGGTAACCTAAAGAAGTTACTGGAGCCTCGTCTTCAGGTCCCGCTGGATGGATATGACATTTGTCTGCAGGACATCCTAGTATGTGCTTCTGTATTCATTTAAACTTATTTCAGCACACTTATTGTGTTTATTGGCTGAGCTCTTCACTCCCTGTCTCCGCTCCTTTCCTCATGTAGCTTCATCCTGATCACAGCCTGTTCGATCAAGGAGTGAAGACAGATGGCACAGTACAGCTCAGCGTGCAGATTGTCACGAAACAGGGTAACAGTTTACAATGATCTTGTATTGCTGTTGGACAAATCTGAACTTGTCAACATGCCCTTCAGACAACTGAAAATATTTGGTTAGTTGATGTGTCCTGCATTGTGAGCACTTAACTAATTCTTTTATAATTATGCATGCAGATTTTATGAGCCCGTATTATTGATTGAGAGGCTACATGAATATTTGTACTTTCAAAAATTCTGAAAGGACTATTTACATTGAACTGGTGAAGGCAAAAAGACAACTACCCATTTATAGCAATAAAAACAATTGCTTGACCTGCTTGTGGGTGTGTGTTCTGTTACAGGTGAAGAGAAATTGAATATTCTGGAGATCGTGAAACCAGTGGAGACCGTGGAGGTTGTGATCGATCCAGACGCCGCTGCTGGCGAGGAAGCCCATCTGGTGGAGGACGGACATGTGATTGCGGTGGAGCGAGCATCCATTCCTGATGAGACTTCAGAACAGGTGACCCGCTGGGCGGCCGCATTGGAAGGCTACCGCAAGGAGCAGGTTCGACTGAACATTCCCTATGGTGAGTAGTCCGTTGATATAAACGTGTTTCAGAGTTAAATGTAAATTTTTTAAAAAAGATTTAGGGTTGGTAAGGTTTTTTAAATGTGTAAAGTAAAGTCTCAAAGCCTGGTTTATACTCGCTTTGTCCGCACAAGTGCAAAAAAATTGCGTCAAAGCAGTGTGGGCAGTCGTTCACATTGACTGCACAAGATTCCGTTTCGTTTTAACAGCATTGTATGTGACTTTCCCCTGGGCTCCTTTTTTTAATATTGTTATAAAAAAAATAAAAAAAACGAAAATGTAATTGGATTATTTTCCAAAATCGTTTAGCCTTAATAAAAACAAACATCACGTGTGTACCGTACTAATCGGGTAATCGGCTCGGGTAGGGTCGGACTTGATTTTTTGGGCTCGATCTAAGCTCTAGCTCAGTTCATGGCCCCTTTAAAAATGTAATTAATTCCTGAATTTTTAGCAGCCATTGCTTCTGTCTTCAGTGTCACACGATCCTTCGAAAATTATTGGAATATGCTGTTTTGGTGTTCTAGAAACTTTTCTTTCTGAAACAGTTGTTCTTTTTAATATTTTTATGAAAAAAAAACATATTTTTTGAGGACTTTTTTTATGAATAGAAAGTTTAAAAGAACATCAATTATTTGAAATATTTTGTAACATAAATGTGTTTGCTGTCACTTGATCAATTTAAATTGTCCCTGCTGGATAAAAGTAAAAATTAATTTCTTAAAAAAAAATATCTTTGAACCCAAAACTTTTTAAAGGGACATTTTGTAGGAATTTCTCCCATCTAGCGGTGAAATAGTATTTTGCATTCAAATGAATTGTGCTCTCCTGCGCCTCGCTTTTTCAAATGTGTGTTGTATCTACGGTAGCCGTTATGTACCAAAAAGCTATGATAGGATGTCCTCTAATAGCACTTTGTCGAGTTTTCTTTCGGGTAAACAGGTTTGTTATTTCAAACAAACAGCAACTTGACACATCGAAACAAACGATTCTTACAGTATGAATTACTGACTGTGAAACTTGCCGAGACATTGACACGCGCCTCTCACTGCTCTGCTCCTGCGTTTCTGCTGCTTTCAGTCACGTCACGCTGGCTCTGAACAAAAATGCATTATGGAAATGCATTGGCCTAGTACTTTTTGTCCCTCTCTGCTATTATAGTTTTTCAAGATGGCGGATCTACATGGAAGCATCCGTGGATTACCCGTCCCATGTATATAAAGATAATACATTCTTTGTTTACCAGGATAAGTCAGATAATTGGCAGATGTATTTGTACACCATTGATGACATTTTATGAATACAAATATTAATTTTAGATGATAAAATACCTAAAAAAGTACACATTGTCCCTTTAACACTAATTATTGTATGTATTTATTCTAAATAATGAGATGCTTCATGAAATCTGAAATGACAATAAAATTTTGAAAGGAATCATGATATGATTAATTGGTACAATTAATAACAAGTATACATCTGAAAAATAGGTCAGGGATTGTATTTTTAGTTAAGACATGAATGAAATGATGATGCAGTGCTGTGTTTGGCTACATGAGGCTCCAAACGCTAATAACCAGATGCAGAATATAATGTACTCTTCAATAAACTTTCCATTCAGGTTATTTTTTTCTGTAAAAAAAAAAAAAAAGAAGCAATGAACGTTTTTATTTTATGTGTAATATGTATTGAATTAAAGCTTATCTTAAATGTAATACTCTTACTACAAATTATAAATTTAAATAAGAAAATTAAATTTGTAAATGCTGAAATGCATTGTCATTGTCAGATTATTTTATTCTTACACCTTTAGTCAGTCAAGCAATCTGATGAGGTTTGTGTGTCTTTATGTCAGACCCGGTGCAGTGGACAGCAGATCAGGTGATCCACTGGGCAGTTTGGGTTATGAAGGAGTTTGGGATTGAGGAAATGGAGGTGGGTGGCATTCACATCCCCGGCCGCCAGCTCTGTGCTTTTAGCCAGGAGGAGTTCCTCCAGAGAGTGCCTAGCGGAGAGATCCTGTGGAGCCACCTGGAGCTTCTACGCAAGTGTAAGTTTCACAAAGGAAAGAGTGTGTGTGTGGTGTGTCTTCTCTAATGCAACCCTCTCAGGTGCAACCAGAATATTTTTAGTCAATTTTCAATCTTTGTAACGCTCTGTGCAGATGTACTGGCAAGTCAGGATCAGGGTCAGGAAGCAACAGTCACCATTGATCAACGTGAGTATATATAGATCCTGAATCTTCAACAAAAGCACTTTTTGAGTACCTTCTTGAGTAACACTTTATATAACCTGCACATGACTGTTGCTTAAAGGGCAGTTTTGTGTCTCCAGGCAACACTTAAGCTTTTTGATGAAAGGAGCGTGTGTTGGTCTTCTGGGTAACACAGTTTCTTGATATTCTCCAGCTGTGCAGATCATTCCTGCCCCCGTTCAGCAGGCCACACCCACAGCCATTAAGGTGATGAAGCACAACAAAACACCTCGAGCCCCCCGGATCTCAGGAGAGGAGCGCAGCTCCCCTGGCAACCGCACAGGTACATACAAACACTGTGTAAATGTGTAGGTCTATCGATATTATCAGGCTTATTTGAAATAAATTAATGTGGTGGAAATGCATGTCATTTTTCAGTATAAAATGTTAATATATCATATATTATATGATTTCATCTAATATATTGATGATGAAATTAGTAAGTAATCTTTTGAAATGCAAACACCACTGCTCAAAAGTGTGAGGTCAGTATAATAATTAAAAAAAACAATGTTTTTTAATGCTTTTATTTAGGGCTGTGAAGCGATTAATCACATCCAAAATAAAAGTTTGTGTTTACATAATATATGTGTGTGTTGTGTGTATAATTATTTTGGATATATAAATACACACACATACATGTAAATATTTAAGAAAAATGTGTTATTAATATATCAAATATTTATGTTTATGTATAATATTTGTATAAATATATATAAAGTATATACATGCAAATATACAAGCACGTGTGTGTCTTTATATATACAAAATAATTATACACACTACACCCACATATATTATGTTAACAAAAACTTTTATTTGGGATGCGATTAATCGCGATTAATCATTTCACAGCCCTACATTCAGGAAATTCTATTTCAAATAACTGTTTTCTTTAAACTTTGATTAATGAAAATAATCCTGGAAAAAATGTTCCATGGTTTCCAAAAAAAGTTTTCAACTGAGTTGTTTTTTGTTGTTTTTTGCGCACCGAATCATCATAGAACGATTTCAGAAGGATCACGTGACACTGAAGACTGGAGAAAAATAGTTATTTTAAATTGTAATGATATTTCACTGTTTTTATTGCATTTTGGATTTTGTCAGTATTAGAGACCGGTAGTTTACATATTGATGAATTGTCCGAAATGTTAATCTAATGTCATCATTTAATTGAATAAATTGACTTTATTTTAATGGACCATGATGGAGAATAAAGCAATAAGCCGACGTGGAGAGAAGGGTCCAACCCCCCACCCCAGCTTCTAAATTCCATCTAAAACACTGCTTAACTGGGTTATTGCTTTTATAAAACAGTTAGTTCATAACAAAAGTTATTTTAATATTTATCACAGGTGTATGTTTTTAAGAGTCATTTACAATGGCTTGGCTCCACCAATCAGAATCAAGGGCCGAAACGATCTGTTTTATAAGCATTTTCCTCTTCCTCTCATTCCTGGAAAAAAATACCATGCACAATTCCTAATAAATGGTTTTTGAGTTGATTATTATTGTGTTGTGTGACCTCTCAGGTAATAATGGCCAGATTCAGCTGTGGCAGTTTCTCCTAGAGCTGCTGACAGATAAGGACTCTCGGGACTGCATTTCCTGGGTGGGAGAGGAAGGCGAGTTCAAACTCAATCAGCCTGAGCTGGTAGCTCAGAAATGGGGTCAACGCAAGAACAAGCCCACCATGAACTACGAGAAACTAAGCAGAGCTCTCAGGTGCGTTTCATTTCCTTTCTCTAGTTTAGCTGCTTTTGGAAAGATGCAACTAGTAATCAGCAATGTATATTTTTTTTATTGTTTTAGATGATATAAAACGTGCCTTCTTTCTACAGGTACTACTATGACGGAGACATGATCAGCAAAGTGCAGGGTAAGCGCTTTGTCTACAAGTTTGTGTGCGACCTGAGGACTCTGATTGGATACAGCGCTGCAGAGCTCAACAACCTGGTGACGGAGTGCGAACAGAAGAAACTCGCCCGAGTTCAGCTGCACGGCCTCGGCCAGCCCGTCAACACAGTCACGCTGGCCACCGCCACAGGGCAGCCCGTCACCACAGTCACTCTGGCTGCAGCGACTTTGGAGAAAGACAGTTGAGGAGGCAGCCAATCAGTAGACAAGTTTAAGATGGGAGGAAACCAGATTAAGCATTTGACTTTGGGCAGGGAGGGAGACAGCGGGTTTGTAAGGAGATGTGCGCTTTGTTATGAGTGTGTATGTGTGTTTGCGTGTCCTTAAAATGCTTAAGAGAGCGAATGTGTGCGTTTGAGTGAGATATAAGAATAGATGATCATGTATGAGCTTTCAGTTTTTGTATGGCTGTTCTCTGACTGCAGGGTTGCGTCGGCTATATTTCCATTGTATATACTCTATGTTTTTGATAGCCATGTGGGCAGTGTATTTTGATATTTTCCATTTGTAAAGGATCTTTTCTTTTTTATTTTTGAGCGTCCAATTCCCTCAAGGTGATGTACTTTTTACTGTCCACCAGAGGGCAATAAAGAGACAGTTGGTTTTTGAATTGATCAAGTCTTGTATAATGCAGCAGAAACAACACATCGCAAGGAGTTTTGTATGTACATTCAAAACTTTATTCATGGGTTACAGTGTTGTAGAAAGCTTTTCCCCTTCTAAGCCAATGATTTGAGTAGATACTGAAGGAAAATTTCACAGAAAGAGCTTTCTCTGCTCCCTACTGACCACAGACACTCACATAAGAGTATCCACAAATCAGCACAACACCAGATTTTTAGAGCTAAGGTACTTCTATACAGGAACATAATGAGCAGTGTGCAGTGCACAATGTTTGAATCTTTTAATGGCCGTCTCGTACAATGCATTATACAACAATTTCCTTCAACATTGTGGCACTTTCAAAATAACTTAAAAGGTCATTTCAAAAGACCATATGGCATGAACTCATTACATTAATATTTCATTATCTACCCGTCCTTTCCTACCTGCTCTGACCTATAAGGTGCTATGCCATACTTGAGTGAAACAAAAGAGGGGAGGTGAAGTGTTTCTGTCCCAAAATGTGTTCGTGAATATCACAGACACTAGGGGAGTACAAAGAGGGGAGAGTGGGACAAAAATCACACAATCAAAAAAAAAAAAAAAATGGTGGCTATTTCTGAAGTAAATTCCCACCACTTCATACCTCCTTTCCCTAATCCCGGCCCCATACCAAATCCCGACATGGAATAGAACTTCATGAGGCAAAAAGGGTGTAGTAGACCCTTAAAAATGCAGAGTGCGTAGAACGTTAACAAACCAAAACGTGGGCTAATATTACACTTCATAATACAATACATACATCTTTTTCCAGCCCCATGCAACCATTTAAGTGTGCGTGGCATGGTCCAAAAGAAAGAAAAAGCACACTTCAGTTAAAGCATGTCCCTGTGACAATGTAGCCAAGCAGATTTTTTTTCTCACTTATTTAAAATGTGATCACAATAAGACAATAAAATGTACAATCCAGCTAAAATCTCTACATGAGAGAGGTCAAAGTCTGTGTTTGGATCCAGAAACCATCTCTCTGTTAAAATTTCCATGCACTACATAGATACAGCTAGCTTCTGCCTTAATTCAATACATATTACACATAAAACAAAAACATTCATTGCTTAAGTTTTTTTTTTTTACTTTTTACTTTTTTTTAATGTGTATTTTTTTACGTTTTGTTTTTTTTTTTTTTTACAGAAAAAAATAACCTGAATGGAAAGTTTATTGATGAGTACATTATTCCGCATCTGGTTGTTTGCGTTTGGAGCCTCATGTAGCCAAACACAGCACTGCATCATCTGAGTGCCAAGGAAAAAGGAAGGAGGGCTAAAGGAAGGAAACGTGCAAACAAAAGAGGAGACGTAAGTGCTTAAATAAATTTCTGGAGGGGAACAAAAATGGTCACATGAGAGAGAGAAAAAAACCATGTGAATTGGAAAACCATGGGTAAGTTAGAAGGAAAGCATGCATGGGTGAAGAGAACAGAGCAGAAGACGCATCATTCACCACACAATGCTGTGACGGACTAGCATGTGAACGCACAGATGGACCGTCGTACTGACAGATGGCTGAATGGGCAGCAATGATACATCACTTTTCTGTGCAAACCGATTGAGCGCTAATTCGATTGGATGAAATGGTCAGGTGATGGAAGCCACTCTCATCTCCATGGTGACAGAGCTGATCAACAGTGTGTATGAGGGATCAGTCTGCATTTCTCAGTCCTGATGCAGTGGGGTGATGGTGCTGATGGTGTTGGTGATGGGGAGTGCGGGGGTGTGAAGTTGTTCTTTAGTTCTGCATCTGCTCGAAGAACTTGTAGGTGGGGTTCTCGTAGCCGTTCTGCTGCATCTTAGTAAGATGGCGTTCCTCAGGGGTCACCGCTGCGTCAACCTGAGATATTAAAAAATATATATGGTGGTCATTAAATGCGTTTTTTTTCACTCCCAACAGTTATTGTAGTATTATTTTTAAATATACCATTAAAGTATTGGTTTCAATAGGCCAATTTAAACTCTTGCTCAAAGGTTTGGAAATAAAATCTATGGTTTGTGAATGTTTTAAATAGTCTTATGAAATTGTTATAAAATTGTCTGTAATGTACTAAATTGTTGTGATCTGTGCCGCTGTCTTGGCCAGGACTCCCTTGAAAAAGAGATTAGTAATCTCAATGGGATTTTTTTTTTTCCTGGTAAAATAAAGGCTAAAAAAAAAAAAGTATGTAATAATATTATGAACTAGCTTTTTCATTTTATATTTTAAAAATCTGCAAACACAAATGCCCCGATGCCAAACCCCCTCATGGAAGAAGAAAGCCGTTGTGTTAACAACTGTGACAACGCTCACAATGTGCTTATCAGGATCAACTAAGACCCCGTGAAAACCCTCGCGGGTGAAAACGTAAAAATATTTTATCGTTTAAACGGCATTTTTGGGGCTTAAAAACACAAAAAAGTGAAACCACCCTCCAGAGTGGAAATCTTAAAAACGCTCCACCGCCGCGTAAAGGGTAAAAAACGGTAAAAACACACGAAACTAAGGTTGTATGCAGGCGCACAGACTTGGTGTTGTTGTGTGGCAGTGCTCCACATTGCCACCTAGCCGCCTGGAGTGCATACTACATTGAATTTCACACACTTTTGCGTCACCATATGCACGCGGATTTCCCACCCAAAACACTCGTTGTAATCTCCATACATGGTTATTTCGGGGCGGAGACGCATGTGCGGGCATTCTTCCACTGACTGGGTTTTATAAAGTGAATTTTGCGCAGGTTTTGGCATACGAACGGTTTTATAAGTCTGAATATTTTTCGCGTACGCCATTTTTGGCTTTGGGGTGCACGTACACTTTTAATAAGGATCCTAAGCACAGTTTTATAAATGAGGCCCCAGAGCTTCTGCCGTCACAGACTACATGAGCAGTAACTTGCCCTACCTTCCTCCAATGACATTTCTCCAGCCTCCCTCCTCCTTCCCTTCTCCATTTTTAGGCCTACATTTGTCATCCTATGTATTACTCAAGGGAGGAATCTGAAAAATACATAGGATGACAAATGTAGGCCTAAAACTGTAGAAGGAAGGATGATTGGAGAAATATCATTGGAGGAACCTAATCCTGGATTTAGACAACATTTTTTGTCTGTAAAATGACAGTCACTGTTATGTGATTTTGACTCCTAAATCAAGGGGTGGTGATTTGCTCGCTTTCGGGTTGAGCTTTCCACGACTGCGCAACTGGGGTATAGGTTACCAGGTTGAGATGACAAACGGATTGAAATTGCATATGGTGAGTGGATTGTGTGAATATAATGCATTTAATACAAGATCTGGCAACTGGTCAACATTAGACAAACATATTGGTCCGATTATTCATAAAGGAGTTTGGGACATGCAAATTACGTTTCACAGGAGAGAGGAGAAATAACAAACCGGGAGAAAAAGGGAGAAACCCGGGAAAAACAGGTATGTTGACAGGTATGGCCTACACTAAATAGATTGTGCCAAAATCGTGCTGATATCGTGTAGTCTTCAAAATCGAACTTTCAATTATGGACAGCATGCCAAATCTGTTTACCCCTTTTCATCTCTGATCATATAATCAATTGAACTTGTGAAATAATTAAAAAAGCACTACACTTATGAAATATTTCATTAAAGACTATTATTTTCATTTCAATGATATTTCCAAGTTTACAAATCACAAAATGTAAAGATATTTGAACATGTTTCTCACCTCAATAACTCCATGGTGAATGGAAGTGTACTGCTTCTTCCTTAGCATAACAAGGGTGATTACAATGACTGTAGCAATGACAACTCCACCCACCATCAGTCCAATGATTGCCCCTTTATTAGAGCCCATGTCTTCTGCAAGGAACATCTGATTGGACACAAACACATCAATTACTTTTTGCATGTGAAATATTCGATACATATAGATATTTTGTCTGTATGTATGCATGTTATGTAAAATGTTGTACCAGTCTCTTGTCACGAACATCATAACCAGCGTTGTGCCTTTCCTCAATATCCAGCCGAACCTTTGGAATCTCTATATGAGCACACATATGAGCATATTCATTAGATATGTGATATTAAAGTCAAGTCACCTTAATCTATATAGCCTTTTATACAATACAGATGGTTTCAAAGCAGCTTTAAATAAGAAAATAATGATCAATGAAGCAAACAATTGTGTTGTTATATGAGCTAAATATGTTGATTCAGTTCAGTTTAATAATTAACAAAGCAGTTACTGAAAATAACAAGTAGACTCTTACCGGGTCTCGTAGGCAGACCCCTATCTGGAATTGGACGGGCATCTACGGGTTCAACTGAGCAAGACAAAAAAGCAGCTCAGTCTCTTTAAAATCCAGTGTTTGTTGATTATTTACACTACCATTTTGGGTTGGTAATATTTATTAATGTTAAAAGGCTGCATTTAATAATAATAAAAAAATACAGTAAATACTTTAATATTGTGAAATATCATTACAATTAATGTAAAAATAACCGTTGTAACTGTAAACTGTCAGATGAATAATTGTTTGATATATTTTAAAATGTAATTTATTGCTGTGATAGAAAAGTGTAACTGATCCTTCATGAATAATTCTAATATTTGGCACTCAAGAAACATTGCTTTTTATTATCAATGTTGGAAATGGTTGTGCTGCTAAATATTTTTTTGTAGAAACCATAATACATAAAAAATAATAATAATAATTAATGACCCCAAATTTTTTAACGGCAGTGTATATTGGCGCTTTTCCACTGCTGGTACGGCTCGGTACGGCTCAGTGCGGTTTGGCTCGGCTCGACATGGCACGGCTCGGTTCGCTTGCAGTGTAGTAGCTTTAAAGTGGGTGGGATTATAGACTGATCGATAACAGCGGTGGCTGTTACTGGCTATTTAAATCTAGCGGGTTTGGTTTCTCGTGTCGATGTCTATTGGTCGCAAATACAATGACGCTGGTACTGACGATTCTGTCTGACCAATCAGTGATCTGCAGTGTTTCACGTCACAATTAGAACCTCAACAGACCAGGTACCATTTAAAGCGAGCCGTACCGTACCGTACAGTGGAAAAGCGCCATATGATTGGTTACTCAATCTGTATGTAATGTTCATGAAATGTAAAAGTTTTTGCGGTTCAGTTCCACCAATGAATGTGCTAATGTTCACCATGGTTGTCGGTGTTGGCCTGGTTGAAGCTTTCGGGGTGGATGAAGCCCAGGCCGTCCTGCTCCGGTGGCAGGATGTCCAGGGTGGCGGTGCTGTCAGGCAGGTCCGGCATCAGGGCGTCGTTCCCGTAGCTAACCCTCATCTTACTCTGGAGAGATGACAGCAGTTGGGTGACTTCCGCCTGGTCACGCTGAACCAGCAGTGCTGCGAAAGTTTCAGTAGACCCCAGTTTGAAACCTGTTCCCTAAATCAGTGTTTCCCAACCCTGTTCCTAGCGGCACACCAACACTGCGTGTATTCTTTTGCTGCGTCCCAATTCGCATACTATCCGTCCTAAATAGTATTCGAAAATAGAATTAGTGCGTCCCAAACCGTAGAATGTTGAAATGAGTATTTCAAAGATACCCGGATGGTCTACTTTTTCCGGTCAGAATCCGAAGTGTAGATCGATGCACACTCTAACGGCTGATATTGCCCACAACCCTTTGCGCGTTGAACGAGGATTCGGTTAGAACTACAAACACGAGTAAAAGTGTAAAAAGAACTACAGACACACGGAGGACGCGTGAGTCCCGCGGTTATGTTAAGAGGTTTAGATAAAGAGGTTTGAGTGATTAATTAACACTATCTGACCTGACGAAATTCATTTATTCAATGTTCTCCACATTATATTGCATCTGCAGCAGCATTGTGAACTTTTGTAAGGATACGTTTAGCCATTACTTTTTAAATGCATCATTATATTCAAATTGCAAAACACGAGGAAAGTATAGCCATGAAAGACCCATGACTGGCAGATTAACGTGCTCCGATACGGTAGGAAATCAAATTAGAAAATAAATTTGACAGGGCAGTTTATGGTGACAGGATGCACGCAGCACGCCACAGAGCCGTCCGTTAAAGATGACGTGATAGTATGTCCCAAAGCTTGCCTACTTTTTTGCTACATACTCAAAAGTATGTACTTTTTCTTCACAGAGTACATACTTTTAGGGCGTAGTATAAGTAAGCGAATTGGGACGCAGGGTTTGTCTCCCTTATCAAACACACCTGATTCAACTCATCAGCTCATAATCAGATGGGTTAATGAGCCGATGAGTTGAATCAGGTGTGTTTGATAAGGGAGACAAAGAATACGCGCAGTGTTGGTGTGCCGCTAGGAACAGGGTTGGGAAACACTGCCCTAAATGATATGACAGTGAACTCAACACTAAATAAAGCACTTCACACTCACCCACTTGGTCCTGGATTTCATTAGCCACTTGTGGCACCTTGTAGAGGTACCCCAAGGATTGGTTAATGCGTTCCTCAATAACACGCAGGTGGGTCATCACCTATGAGCACAAGGGGTCAAACTGAAGTTTGAAGTGTCTACACATTTTACATCTAAAGTAGGAAAGAGAAACCTTGACATAAGCTTACAAATGGTCGAATCTGGGACGCCTTCTTGGGATCCACCTCCCGCACGTGCTCAAAGTGTTTGAGGGTGTGCTGCCTGTCTTTCTGCTCCGCTCGTATGTACTTCTTCAACAGACTGAGAACCTGCCGAGGCTGTACGAGACGGAGGAGAAAATAGGTTTTTCTTGTTTAGCAATGCAATTTACTATTGTAAACAACACGTGTGCGCCAGTAGCATGGTTGTGTGCGAATACCCGAGGCTGGTCCGACTGAAGCGCGCTAAGGTAGCTCTCCAGAGCCTGGCGGCGTCGGTCGTTCAGCAGAGCTTCCACTCGTGCCATGTGGGTTTCTACCAGCTGCTGTCTCTCCCCGGCCGCCTCTTTCTCCAACGCCTCCACCTTCTCCTGAAAGCGCTATAGAAACACCAATAAACATTAAGCCAGAAGCCTTTTATTAATCAGTGCCTTTCAATCCGCTTGAAAATCCCCCCTCCGTTTTAATGGAAACTGTATGCTGTGCCACTAAATCTAAATGCACTTGGACCGTAAACCCCGCTAAGTGCTTTTATATAACAGGTTCACAAACCGATGGATTATATTAACAATAAACTATGTTTACTTTCTGCCGCTTAATGCTTATGAATCATCAGCCAACATATACTATTCACATTTATTAAGGTTACCTGAATTATGGTCTTCTTATCAGCACGAGGAAGATTCTTTGCCTGTCTCTCTGCCTCCTCCCATTCTCTCATTACCTGAAGAGAGACAATGAAATACAGTCACTAGATGAATTCTAAACACTTATTAACTGAAGATTTCTTTTGGATATGTACAATGGTAAAATATAAATAATATGTGCTATCATAATATAACATAACATTTTATGTATATTAATTTAGAAATATTTCAATAATAGGGTGACCATATTTTGATTACCAAAAACCAGGACACTCAGCAAACACGTGGGCCAACTCAAATGATACTCGAAGTTTGCTCAAAGATACCTTATTAATTTCAATACATTTAAAGTAGGTTATGCCTCCTCTGTATGGATAGAAAATTGTTATATTGTTATATGAAAACAGGACATGTCTTGGGAAAACAGGACAGTTGGTCACCCTATTCAATAACAATATTAATAATTGTTTCTAATTAAATGCTAAAATTACTTACCTTTAATCGTTTTTAAAATAAAAATAAATGTCTGCTCTGAATGTGTGTCGTTAACTTTGCATTGCCATTCATAATAATACTTTTAAGGTTTTAACAAACAATATATAAAATACTAATTAAATGATGATGCACTTTCATGAATCACTTCAAACCGTCAATTTCACTGAACTAAATCAAAACTCTGACTCAGCAATCTTGTGTTTTTTTTATTCAGCAATGTAATGTTTTATGCTTTAAATTTTTTCTTGCATTAAACATTGTAATTGTACAATTGTCAGGGTTATGTAATGTTTCATCTGTGTTTTTTTTTTTTTTTACTATGAGTTGTTTTTTGCTTTGTTTTCCGGTTCCTTTGTTCCGTTTCCCCTCTTCTAGTTAGTTTCTATGGTTATTCATGGTTTGATTAGTCTTTGCACGTGATCCTCATTTAGTTTGGTTTGTTCAGTGTATTTATGCTCTGTGTTTCTTTCTGTTAATTGGGACTCATTCATGAAACACAAGCAGAAATTTGACAGATTCATGAAAATTTTTGAATTTACAAAATTATTGTTGGTACAAAGGAAATTTACACCTGCTCCCTACCACGTTAATGGTGTGTAAAACATTAATTTTGTATTATATTAGGCAAATTGATGGCACTGAATTTTGATGCACTATGTACCATATTAATATTTTACAAGTTATTGTGCTCTGTCTTTAAATTAATTAATTGTTTTTGTAACTGAGAGTTGAAAATGTTCAACTTTGCGCACTCGTCACTGTCACTTTTTAACTAGCCAATCACAGTGGAGGAGAGGCGGGACCAATACTACACCGAACAACCATCCTACTTGAACAACGACTGAACAACAATTGAGAAGTTGTCTTAACCAAATTTGACAAATGATTGTTCATTAACACACTTTTCAAATCTGATGTTTACGAAGCGTTTGCAAATCAAGGAGAGTTTTCAGGAAGTTACTCCACATTTAGTTTCATATTTCAAGACAAACTTTGCCCCACTGCTATAACTGCATTATACCACTCTACTCAGGTTCCCACCTCTGACATTTTCTCTCTGTGTTTGGCCTCCAGGCTCTCCTTTGCTTTCTGGAAGCGGGTGTGCTCATTCACATCTCCTGGAGCTTCCAGGTAACGATCCACAGCATCAGCAGGGCTCGGGGCCATGGTTGGCACTAGAAAGAGTCAGAAGTCAAAAAACAGATAACCGAATCTTCCAGAGAAAGAGCCAGAGAATCTTCCTTTCGGCAAAGAGAGATTCTTTAGAGATCTATAGAGCGATTTCAGGGAAAAAAACAGCAAGATGCAGGTTAAAACTGGTTAGCAAAGTCAGAAACATTTGGGGGAGCTTACTATTGCCAAAGGTTGCTATAGTGCATGTTTTAGGTACGCTCAGAGAGTTAAGAGTTTTCATGCTGGAAAATAATCCAGTATGGTAGATTATGTATATACAGTGACCCCAAAAAGGGTTTTGACACTAAAGAAAATAAATGAATGTCACTGCATGAAGTAGAAAATATCAAATATGAGGCATATGCACACAAATTATACCAGACGTTGTTGCAGAACTTTGAAATAACGTGCATCAATTAATAATACAAAACAAGACCCAGTATTTTAGGGTACGTTTTCATGACGATATGCTTAAAACTTTCCGCGTTACGTACAAAACGATCCCCGTTCACACGGATCCGCAAAAACGACTGAAAAAATCTTCAAAATCTTGAATTTTCAGGCACCCAAAACGTGTCGTCGTGTAAATGAACGGCCAAAGCGCATACAAAATTTTACGTTTTTAGTTAAAAACAGCGTCGGTTAAACAGCCCCAAAGAGTAAACAGTTTTCAATTTAATAAAGACATGAAGACGTTTCACTAAGTATTTAAAATCTATCATTATTTTAATTTTGAAAAATGTGTCTATTGTTTTACCATTTACCACTGTAGTGATTTTTTTAAAAAAAAGTGTGCTTGAACTATCTTTAAAATAAATGCCCTTTGGTTTGATCATTTGTAATGCAGTGACATTTTTGATTGTGGGATTAGTGTCCAAACACTTTTTTCGTGTCGCTGTAAGTGTGTGGGGGCGAGAGAGCTGTATTTCTATGGGCGTGTTCTGCAGCAGCTCCAGTGAAGCTGTTGTGACATTTTCTGACAGCGAGCATGCGGGAACAGCCAGACTGGCTGTGAGGAAAATGCCCTGTCAGAATGAGGGCTGCTCCGCTGTCACTCTCCCGCAGAGTCCAGAATTGTGCTTAACCGAGCGTTAACCGCCCACTGAACCACTGCCGCAGACTGGTCTGACCAGAGGCCGACTATAGCTCCATCACTGGCCCACACACAGAGATAAACACAAACCGAGAGAGAGAATGGGGGAGGTACATACAGAAGTGCAGTGTTAAGCAGCTTAAGAAATACACCCACTGACATGCAGGTGCTTTAAAAACAGACAAAAGCACAAACACACATCCAAGCTATTAAATATGTCAGAATCTACTCAAAATCTGTAATGGCTGAAACTCAAAAAAAGCAAACACGAAACCGTAGTACAGTATGGAAAACATTGCCCATTATAAAGAAGGATTGATTCAATAAATAAATAAATTTTCTTACAAACGTATTCAATTACAAAACAACAATTTGTATGAAAAAAAAATATAGATTTTATTGCTACTTTTGACTCTACAACTGCAACTCAATCTGTATTGATCTGATTCAGTAATAAGTCAGATGGAATTCTGCAAATGATTTTTGAACAATTCATTTAACAAACAGGCTCATAAGATTTACGTGTGCATGAATTAAAGGGTTAGTTCACGCAAAAATGAAAATTATGTCATTAATGACTCACCCACATGTCGTCCCAAGCCCGTAAGACCTCCGTTCATCTTCAGAAAAAACGGTTTAGGATATTTTAGATTTAGTCTGAGAGTTTTCTGTCCCTCCATTGAAACTGTATATTTGGTATACTGTCCTTGTCCAGAAAGGAAATAAAGACATCATCAAAGTAGTCCATGTGACATCAGTGGGTTAGTTATAATGTTTTGAAGCATCGAAAACGAATTTTGGTCCAAAAATAACAAAAAGTCTTCCCCTGTGTCGTAATCCTTAGACATGTTTGCGAAGATTGTTTTGTTTACAGCGTGTGTCTCCCTCAGACTGTAAACGAAGCTCGGACGCACTGATAACACGTCAGCAGCGTCTTACGTCACCAGCGTCACTGAACGCGGATTGACAACAGAACCGGAAGACAATACAATGCTGAATAAAGTCGTAGTTTTTGTTATTTTTGGACCAAAATGTATTTTCGATGCTACAAAACTTTCTTATGCCTGGTTCAGATTACACGATTTTTTTTGTCTGTTACGATGTCACTGTGTCAGATTACGCGATTTTGACTCCTAAAATCTTGTCGTGTCGTGGACACGACGCATGTCAGACTACACGTCGCTTCCTAACCAGTCATCACGTGCCGTCATCGAGAAGGCAAAACTAGTAGCGAGTGACTTCTGGAAATGAACGTAAACAAACAATGGATGAAGCGGTGAGTGTTGTATTGGCTGTCCTGTGTTCAGAAAAAAAGTAGCCTGGATGCCAGCCCGAACTCCGCCCACAACATTTTTTGGTCGGGAAGTTCGGTCTGGACTCGATCCATTGAGGAGTAATTATGATCAATCAAAAAATGATCGGGCCAATCAGATTGCCATGGCGGGCTTTATACGATGAGGGACAGATGATCTGCAGGGACGTAATCATCACATTATCAAAGAGCGCTTAACTGTCTTCCCTCAGAGATGACGTCAGCTGCATTGAGATATAGATTCCGCTGTCGCGTCTTTTGTAAAAGAAATCAACGGCGCATTCATTTTAATAGACTTAATTAATAGACGTAATAGACTTCATTTTATTTTATTTAGAATCGGAAAGATATTTTTGGCGTCCTTCCTACATGATTCGGGAAATAGTGTAACTTATCAGCTGGCTCTGACGGTCGTTAAGAAGATGGGACGTAATGAAAAGCCTGTGGTCGTTGTGGTGTCTCCTTTGGTGGCACTCATGGAGAAGTAAGTAAAAGAAGCAACACTCGTTATTTAACTTCTAAAATAAATAAAGTTAGGCTACGTTCTGTATTTGAAAACTGCGCTATGCAAAGAGTTGACTTATGCGTTGCTCTGATTGGTTGGAAGTCTACCGACTATCCAATTGAATGCAGAGTTTTTTTTTTTCCTGGTTCGGTTACGACACGCCTCATAATCAAAGCCCAATGGAGGAGTTTCAGACTCATATTATTCTCTCTTGAATATGAGTATGACGAAGTCAGGCTAGAAAAAAAGTAAAAAAAGAAAGAAAACACGACAATGGACACGTTCCTGGATTGCTCGAAGAGGACAGTATGGGCTGTCAATCCTTCAAAGAGAACTTGAGGTAAAATATTGTTGTTTTAGTTTTAACGTTAGCACCTCTTTCGTTTCGCCATTTTTGAAAGTTGTGTACGGAAAAGCTTCTGTGCTCCTATTGGTCGACGACCGTTAAAAAAATTAAACATGCTAGTCTTTTTGTCGTGAAGCATCGCAGACGCGACGTAGGTTGTCGCCCACTATGACACACTATATGAGATGATACGATCGAATCCGTTGTCGTTTACAAATCCCCACAACACCCTACGTCAAACGGATTGTGCCAAAATTGAACTAAAATCGTGTAATCAGAACCAGGCATAACTAACCCACTGATGTCACATGGACTACTTTGATGATGTCTTTATTTCCTTTCTGGACAAGGACAGTATATCTTACATACATTTCCAATGGAGAGACAGAAAGCTCTCGGACTAAACCTAAAATATGAACGGAGGTCTCACGGTCTTGGGACGACATGAGGGTGAGTCATTATTGACATCATTTTCATTTTTGGCTGAACTAACCCTTTAAACTACACTGGTTGCGATGTCTTTGTTTTTGCATCCAGCTAGCAAAGACAAAAGAATAAAATAAAAAGACATGGTCTTTTAAATATACCAGTAAATATTATGATTTATTTAATTTTGCTGGAATTTCCAGAGCAAGAACTATTTATATATTAAATAACCATGCATGCGTTATTTATGAATAATTCAGTTAGAACACCGTTATCACAAAAGATAAGATGTGCATGATAAGACATTAGTACCAAAACAGCTTCACATCCAAAAAAGGATAAAACAAGCAAATCTCACGCCACACAGCCCTATGCCCTGTGTTTTTACTTATCACTTACAATCCGGATTTGAATATCAAAACAATATTATTTCTTTTACCATGGTGCTGTAGATTCAGGAAACAAAGTTGGAGAGTTTCAGAAAAGTTTCAGAAAAGTTCCAGTGTGCTCAGACAAGACAGAAAGAGGTTAAACTAAAGGAACTAAGCGCTCTGCCTGTACAGTCACCTCACGGAGACCTGTAATCCATGCGGGCTATCTGCTGAGCTTGTGAGTTTAGCACGAATGAAGCGAAGAAAGTGAGAAAGAGACGACGTGTTGGTTAGCAGAGAGGAGAACTTCCTCTCAGGAGTCGTCTGGACTTACACACACTGCTGCTGCAGACAGCCATGCAGTACTCCTCTGATTCAAAGTTATTGCGGTTTCCCCCACAGCCCCCAAAGATGAAGGGGGCGCATCGGCCCGTCTCCACCACAAAATACCAGCGGGGAAGCTTGTCATGGCATGGCCCCATCCGAGGAGGGGCCCAGCACACCGCTAATGGAGAAGAGACACTCTTTGATTTGTTTAAATGTAACATTCTGCTCCAGTTTTGCCTATCCGGTTCATTCTCTCAAACATGTCTTGTGAGGGTGTTTTTTCACATTTGGAAAGTGAAATCGACAACGGACACTTAAGCATACGCAAATCTCACCTCGCACAACCTCCTCTATAGACTCCGTTGTGGTAGTGGTGGTGGTTGTCATTGCAATGTTGGAGGTCTGCTCGCTGGTGTCTTGTTCGTCGGTTGTGTCTTCATCGTCATCTTCCTCGTCTTCATCATCTTCACCGTCACCATCTTCATCGTTGTCCCATACTTCCTCTTCCTCATTGTTGATATCCTCATCGTCCTCAGTCACAGCGGGCTCAGGTTTGGTCGGGGTCTGCTCTCTCGGTACACTGTGATGCAAAAATGTATGAAGTTCATGGCATATATAAGTCCGAGACTATTCAAAACATTATTTAAACAAGGAAATGAACAGATTTAAGATTCAGCACTATTTCTTTGTCACTAATCAAATAAAGTGTGTTTGATCATGTGAAATCCTCTGTCCATCAGATGTTTTTCTTCAATTAAAGCTGCAGTCCACAGTTTTTTCTCTTTGTCGCCATCTCTGTTTGAAATCTGTAACAGTCATTCGCGGAATTATCAACTTTATCAATCTCTCTCTCTCTCTTACACACACACGCACTCCAGCATTGCAATCTTGACATCGCAGCCTGTTCTTTATGCGGTCACACCAAACGCGAATAGAGCGCCAAATTCGCGTCTAGTTCGACGCTAGTCCAAAGCGAGGATGCGCGTATAAAGCCAACGTTTGAAGTGAATGCGTTCAGAGCATAGACGGTTCAGAGCTAGCCGATGGTACAGATTATGTGTCCCTAAAGAACCCGCATATCGAACAGTAGTTCCGCATTACATTAATTAATATGCACGCGAGTTTTATTTATTTTTATACCGTGTATCGACGCCCGTACCGTTTCGGTTCAATATGAATACATGTACCGTTCCACCCATTACATATAAATGTGACTTGACTTGAACTGTTTGTGGTCAAAAATTACCGCATTGGAAACGAATTTCATCTAGCGGAAACATTTGATACTGCGCCTAAACCATGTAAGTGAAAGCTAATTTTTTTTAGATATCAAGCACAAATTTGGAACACAGCTTTAGAGTAAAACATGTTTTGGAAAATATATATTTCATATACATTTTTAAAAAAAAAAGTATTTGTATGCATTTTTCATAATAATTGTTTTTTTTCTTTTCAATTTTTTACAACTTTTTCACTTTTCGCAGCCAACATTCAAGGTTCTTTAAAAAAAGACCAAACGTAATCCAAAACATTCAAGATTTACGACAGTTTAAGTTATTATTTATTCTGATAATATCATTTATATTAAAAAGTTGTTTAAAATAAACATGTTCACAAGTGGTCTCAGAACGAAGTGTCAATAATAGCGTTGTGTCTGTGTACCTGCTGTCGGTATACTCGGCCTCTGCGCCGCCCCACCACACATCTGAGTTGGCCTCTTCCTGCTCCTCGCTGTCTAACTCCTTGTGCTCCTCCATGGGGCAGCACACAAACTCTACACCACGGAAACGGTCGATGCCGCATGGCAGCAGCATGCCGTAGTCATGGAGATTCATGGAACGATCACCGCAGGACTGCAGAGGGGCAGCCACAGGGAAGGTGTGAGTGAGAACGAAAGCAAAAGAGGTATAAGACGTGAGTCATCATAGAGCTATATGTAGAACACTCTCGTGGGTTAGATAGAGATGAATTATACATTCTATTCAATCATAATCTGCCCGCACCATTATTTAACATCCATATCTGGATGTTTAATGTGTGTTAAAATGCATTTTTGGGGATATAAGTTTATTTTAAATGTATATAGCAAACATTTCCTTTTAAATGGGGATCAACTACTACAATAAGATCTAGATTCAGTTCTGGAGGTGCCTGAAATGGATTTGGCTTTTTGTGTATGGTTTTCAAACTTTGTAAAAGAGTACAGTAAATGTCATATGGTGTGACCTCTGACCTCTTTGGCCACCGTGTGCCAATGCAGATGACTCTCGCACATGTCCATTCGCTCCTGGTGCAGGAACTTGCACTTGTCTGGGACCAGAAGGGCGTCGCTTACAAACTCCCCAACTAATAAAAACACACAAACATTTGCTCATCAGGCGCTCAAATAGATTTTTGCTGATATGTAACTTGCAGGTGAAAATATCCCGAGCAAACGTTGTGTTTTGATGAATCTCATCTTATCAGATGTGGAAGGATGATGGGAAATCACACAACAGCCACGCTAAAAGCATTAGTTTAATGTTCCACAAATCCAGGTTAAAACCCGAGGAGTTACAGAGTACTGATGTAATCATCACATTGAAGGATAGTTTCATGTAAAACACCAATATGTACCCAAGCAGCGGTAGGGGACAACAATGTGCGTGTGACTGCGGCACAGGCGGCGACCCATTTTGCACCAGTCCTTGATGCCGATGGGCTGGTTGGCCTCCACTACGTTAGTGATCTGGAGGTCTGGGTATACCTGTGGGAGTCAAGACAATGTACAAATTACTAGCTGTCGTGGAACAGAATCCATTTTACTTGCATAATCTGACCTATTTTCAAGTGAAACAGGATTGGATATCACGACGACAAAACACAAATATCACTTTGGTCTTGTCAATGGAACCATTTGGCAACTTTTTAAAAGTAAACTTTCATTCAGAATCTTATTGGCATCCATTTCGACGTCTCGCGCTCGTCATCCACTCAAAATGTAAGGTTAACCAACTATTTGGCCGGCTCGCAAGCCCAAACAAGTGTTTGCGGCGAGCCTTTTGTTTTGTTTCCGGTCTAGGTAGATCTGCTTGTGCTTTGGTCGACGAAGCTACAAATCGTCCTTGCACGGCGCAAGCCATTGAAATGAATGGGTTTTATAGTGCAGCACCGCACATGCTGCGTCCTGTTGCAAAAGCATGTGAAAAAACAAAAAAAGTTTGCTAGGCCAAAAAGACCTAATCTTTCGTCAATCGTGCGATAAAAAATTGACGACATTAAAATGGGTTTTTGTGTTAATGCTGTTAATAACTGACAGCCCTAATAATAATGTAACAAAGGTATAATAACACTGTAATAAACATATAATTACATTTTAATGTATAATAAGACTGTAACAAATGTATAATTAAATTAAATTAAACAGTGTAGCTGACTTAATGATTATTTTTAATCCACAACCCTCTCTAATGTCAGAGATATTCGATTAACAGACACACGAACAGACGTTCCTGTAATTTGTAGATACTGTAGATACCCGCCCACGGAATACGCAGAAAAGCGGATAAGGTCTGGATGAGCTGCTGCTATGTCAAAGACACGCTTTTTCACAACTCATTTGTTTGACCTTCGTAAGGCTGACAAACTTTTATGTTGTCGCTACGTTCGCCTGTTAGCCAAAATTAGAGTTGATATAGGGTTATTTACTATAGCTTGTGTAACCTCTCGCTTTTGTAAGGCCCTTGAACCATTGAAAATGAACCATGTTTTTTTGAACAGTCAGTTTGTATGACCATAGTTTTGCTATTTCCCGAACACACTCTAAATGCTGCAATATAACACACTGGGCCAGATAACCAATCACATCACATTTCTCATTTTGGAAGGAGGGGCTTCCTCGAAACCGGAAGTAAACAATACGTTCAGGACAGACTAGGAGAGATGAACTGTAATAATGAAAAAATGTAAAAAAAAAAAAAAACATGTTTTTGAACAATCAAGCATGAAAGTATATTTTGGTACACCCCAAAAACAAAATCAAGACTTCGTGAAAGGGCGTCACACACAAAAAAAAAAACCACACAATTTCCCCCCTCATAACCATCCCAAACTTGTTGTTACTTGATTATAATTAATCCTAAAAACAACTGTTTGTTTTTATATTTGTGCCCTGTTTTGTCTTACAGCCAAAACTCAAACTTCATGGCTGAAAATATTTAGTTAATAAATTTATCTTTGCACTATAAGACCATGAATGTGTAAAAAGGGTCCGTTTAGATTTCAGAAATATTTTTGACTGAATTTATTAGAATACATTTAGTAAAATAAACATTTGATTTAAGAGTTTTGTTTGTACTATGTACTCTCATTTGCAAACATACACTACCATTCAAAGGTTTGGGTCAGTAAGATTTTTTCAGTAAACATCACTTATTTGTTATAATTATAAATGTCTTTACTGTCACTTTTAATGCATCCTTGCTGAATAAAGTATACATTTTTCCCCCCCAAAGATTTTTCACTGAACCCAAAACTTTGAAAGGAAGAGTATATTGACATTACTTTGGCAATCGGCCACATTACAGCATCAGCCATTGACAAACTTATATCAGTCGATCACTAAATAGAACTTAACATGCTTATGTAATACTCAGAAGCCCCCTATTATATACTGTGAAGGTCATTATATAATTGACTTTAACTCCTGAAGTAATCATGATACAAAAATGTATTACAATCAGTGTGTGTAAGCTTGCTATTGACAACTAACACTGACACAGCAGCCAAACTGATTATATTTGCTGGTCTCGTTTTATATCTCTTTCCTCTCTCATTACCTCTTGGCAGTACTGAAGGATGCCCTCTTTGGTGCCGATGCAGCTCTTGGTGCCAGTTGGATCCGTCTCCCACTTGCCACTCTGGACGTTGATATGCATGTTGAGTTTTCCACAGAACATGGCCACCTGGGGCTCCGCCAACAAGCCCACTGAGTCATCTGATGGCACCTGCCAACAGCACAATCAGCACGAACATGAGGAACCATTATCACATAAGCCTATGATCTTCAGATGTCTTCATGTGGGGGGCGTTTCTCAGCAAATATTGATGTATAAGATCAACTGTGATTATCCTGATTAAGTAAGCAGCCTATCATTTAATTAACTCGATAACAGAGACAGGATGACAATGAAAAGAGGAAAAACTGCAAATGTGTGGAGAAGCACAAGAATTCAACAATTCAACAAATAGTTGATGTGCTTATGAGCATCTGACAGATAACAGTTGGCCCATCTATTTAGAGCACTAAACATTATAATGTCCAAGAAGGGTTCTTTGTGGGGTTCAGACAGGAAATTACTTTAAATCTACATACAAACGTTAGACGAAGAACAATATTGCATGCAGCATGTTGCCCTAACTAGCCAATTAGAAATTCGACTGGATAAACACTTTCATATTGAACAATTTTGGGTTTTGAGTTCTCCGAATGCACTGTGGAGTGAATAAATTATGTAGTGACTGTTATCAGGATATTGCTGTACTGTTTTCTGGCTTTATTATGCTGTCGTTGCTGTTTTTGAGGTCCTTGCTAGCAGTGTTCAAATTATACCAAAGCTTTTAGTGGGTAAGCAAGTGTTAGAAATCATCTCCTGGTATTCAATAAAACATTCAATACTATATAAATATGTATATACTGTATATATACACTACTATTCAAAAGTTTGGGTCTATTAGATTTTTGTATGTCCTTGTTGAATAAAAGCTTCAATTTCTTAATCCCCCCCAAACTTTTGAATGGTATAAAATACATTTATCTTAATTTTCAACATTGAAATATATAACTATATGGAGGATTTGTTTTCCTCCATACTAAACCAGAGTAAATAATCAAAATAACTTCACTCTTTTTGGCTAAATTGTAAAGCTACAAGCAACTCAATTGAAACCATAAGATCTGACAAATACTTGTAACAGACATTAATCTTTTAGAGCCACAATGCCAGTTATGTAACGTACAATATCAAACATTACTGGCTTATTCTGTTCAGCATTAAAAGCCTCGAATACAATCTAATATCTTGAAGTGGGTGGGAAAGATTGGAAAAAAAAAAGATAGAAAGGGAGATAAAGTATGAGTTTGGTCCTGAAAATGACACGAAGGAAAATATTTGCAGAAGACACTCAATTCATAGTCAGTGAGAGAGAATAATGGCAGTCTCTTTTGTGTGTCTTTGGCCTGGCCTCGACCGAGTGAGCCACAAAGGTTCCTTACAACCAGACCCACCCTGACTGTTCAACTGAGCGTGAGGGATTATGGGACTGTTGTGTTTCCCCTCTTTTGTCCTGGGTAACAAACAGTGAAAGTGCTGCTGTAGCCAGCTGTCTGAAAGATGCATCGGTCTCATTAAGATAACGGCTTAATAAGGTATAGATAGATTAATTAGTAAAAGGCTATATATAATATTAAATATAAAGTATAGTAATTCAATGCAGTGGGGGATATTTGTGGGTCCTGATAATGCCAACTGTCTCATGTTAGCAGTAAAAAGTGGCCTACATTATTTTAATTATATCTAAGTGACAAAGTGCAAATATTCTCGTCAGAAATAATTGTGTATTTTCAGCCTCAGATTGATACTTTTATTCTGGTCCAGCCTATTCATTTACACCCAAAATTGTATATCAAATTTAACATTTTAAATCAACAGTACATAGATAGATTGATTGATGGATGGATGGATGGATGTTTTTTTTTTCTTTCTAACCATATGGCTTGGTGGTTATAGTGCAATAAAACATCTCTACGCTGTAGGCAATTTAAAAACAGAATACTGTAATTATGCTGGCCACACTACAGTAGTTAACTCTTTAGGAAAACCATGTGTTAGACACAAAATGATTTTATCTACTGCAATAAGCTGTGAACTTTCAGCTATAGATTGTTTTACATGAGATCATTACCATCAATGTATTGTATGATATAAGAAATGCTTTAACATTAACACCACTGAGCCACCAGTGAAAGCTAATCATCAGTGGATACCAATAGTGTCTCAGCCAGGTTGTCATAGCAGTTCAGGATCCACATTAGTGCAAAATGAAAATGTGCAGCTTTCAACAGGCTGTCAAACATCAACAAGGTAGTTTTTGTACCACTTAAAAACAATCTAAAACCGACCACTACATGTTCCACTGATATTTTCCAGTCAAACAAAGGAAGCTCTTTTTAGATGGAGACTAACCGAAAACAGATTTACCAATTATACGCAAAATAAGCATGGGACCTTTCAGGCAAAACATGGTGACCAGTAAGGAGGTGACAACACAAACTCTCAGAGCTTGTTTTGGCACACTACCAACAAATGTCACCTTTTAATGGAAAACGCTTTAGGCCAGGGTCTTATTTCGTGTAAGTCGTTAATATATAATTTACACTCTGACTGGTACAAGGGGCAATTTTTAAAAGGAATTTTTCAAAGGAACTCAAACTGTCATTTGACATGCCTACAACACAAAAATACACACTTATTCATTTAATTTTGAAGACCCAATACAATTAATAACTGAAATTAATTTAGTCAATGTTTAGGAATACAGCACGCAGCACACATAATACCCACAAACATGATTTTAAACAGTTGTTGTGAAATAATTGTGACTGTGAATGAATAATAATGTGAAAGACAATGACAGAACCTGCTGATCTTTTGCTGATTTAATACTGAACAGAAAGAGCTTGTAGTAATGGCCCAGTTAACAATTTTTGGTTGTTAGTTAGTTTATGGTTATTAAAACAGAGTGTCACCAAAACAAGCGTTACTAATGTTAGGAAACAAAATAACCAAATGGGAACCATATTTGGCTTCTATTTGGTCCCCTGCGAAAATACATAATTTGTAACTAAAAATGTTATGATTAATTTGTAAATAGTTTTGAAATATTTGTAATCTGAGGCTCCACGTTATGTGCATCATACTGGTACCACTATAGGCTACCACATTTTAAAAGAATACAAACAACACCACATCTACATCTAGACCAGAATTACAGAAAACTATGTGGAATAAAATATCTCTGTAAACTACCAGTTCATAAGCTCCACATTCAAGTACCACCATTAAAATAATCTGTGCATGCGAAAAAACGCGTAGTGCAGATGCCTGTGTGTTTGTGGGAGTGAGAAAGTTTATATATCCATGTAGCAGATTTTGGCAAAAAAGAAAAAAAAAGAAAAAGAAACGCCGCAGTTCCAGTTCACGGACGCCATCTTGCTTCTGTCAACTAACATCTTTTTGTGGGCCTAATATTCCTCACAAAACCTCTCCACCATGAACAATTCCTGCATCATTTACGCATTTAACAATCATGCAGGCCTATAACAATGCAAATTCTTTCATAAAGACTAGTATGAATAATAGATGCGCAAAGGCGCCGCAGAGGAATGAGCGTTGTCCTCTGATGCGCGAATGGGCCGTCGGATTGCTGTCACAGCATTTATTCGCCCAAAATGGAGCACTGCAATCTTCCATACCAGCCTCAGGTTTTATATTCTTTTCTTTTTCATCGTGTAAATAAAAGGTCTATCTGCAGGTGGTGAGAGAATGCGCTCTATAACACATGTCCCCTTGACAAAGAGCTGTCAATCACTGATGTTTACATGATTCTCCATGACATGAGTTTATTCCTCCGGTCCAAATTTATTTACTCTAACATAAAAACACATTACGGGCGCACAGCAACATACAATCGCCATATCAGTGCAATTCCTCATTATGTTTCAATGCCACGTTTCTGTTGTGTTCACATAATTACTAAAATCATTTTCTGTGTGTCTCGGCTTTTTTGCAAACACAATAGTTTCACCTTCGAATGTGATGCTATGTTTTATATGAAGGTGTGCAAATGACCCTCAGATATTAAAAACAATGCTAAGATGCCAGAATGATGCGCGTCCTTATGTATAACTTTCATGCGCTACAGTTCGCCCGCTGTGCCCAATTTTAGTGACGATCCTGCTTGCACCAGGAGTGGATCCACCCAACACTTTTTAATTGATCTAAAACACCGACGGACAAGAAGCCCAACTGGAAACTGCATGAGAGGAAAGTATGATCATTCTTGAATACGCAACTGACAATCACGTAGCGCTCAAATGTGAGCAAATCTGCATCCGTCATGCTTTAGTTTTGCGTCCCCCCTCCTCCTCCCCTCCTTTGCTCCCAGGCCGTCATTTAAAGTATGGAGGAGAATCAAGCTCCGTCTCCATTAGCTACACACAATCATATTCTTACCTCGATGGCGAGCGACAAAGTCGTCAGTATTGACAGCAGGAATACCGTACGGTCCATATCCATGGCCGTGTTCCCAAGCGCAGCACGTCCTGATGGATAAATCCTGAGCTGTTCAGGGTTTTTCTGTCGCGATGTTCAACCCCGTGTTCCCCTATCGTCTATGCTGGGCTTTGCTTTGTGAGAATGCGCGACTGCACACACAGCTGCTCCAGTGAAAGTCAGCTGACCACACGTCTGGAGAGAGGAGAGTGTGGAAGAGAAGGGAAGGGAGGCAGATTGAAGGTGGTCAGTGAGGAAACCGCAGAATTTGACAGATACATCAAAACACTGGGATGACTGAACAGCAAAGCAAACACAATCGCAAAGCATGCTTGAGAGTTGAATCTCTACTATTACATCATTTTGGAGAAACAACGAAGTGATTTATTTAGGCTACTACCTAAACAGACACGTTGTAGCCTATCAAATAAAAATGATTTTATTCAGTCTTTGTAGCCTAAACCATTACAAAATGAGGTCAAAGAAAAAGCTTGGAAGAACTCTTAAAAGTGTAAAAATGACCATGGATGGAGCCAAAAGCAACAACACTTATGACTGTTGAAAATTATGAAATGTTATTTCACAGTAGGCTATATATAATTTCTTACATTTACTTTTAAAATAATTCTATGATATCATTGTTTATATATAGGCGATATATATATATATATATATATATATATATATATATATATATATATATATATATATATATATATATATATATATGATTAATCACGATTAATCACACCCAAAATAAAAGTTTGTGTTTACATAATATATGTGGGTGCACTGTGTATAATTATATATATATATATATATATATATATATATATATATATATATATATATATATGAAGAGTTCAGATGCAAAAGCCTCTAAATGCCATTTGAAATTTTCTTCAAGAATGTTAATTTTTATCAAGCTTGTATATTTAAGTTCAGTAATTTCACTTAAATGGCAATGAAGATTACCAATGAATTGCCATTTAAGTGAAATTACTGAATTTAAATATACAAGCTTGAAAAAAATGATTATTCTAGAAGAGAATTTCAAATGGCACTTAGAGGCTTTTGCATCTGAACTCTTCATATATATACTGTATATAAATACACACACATGCTTATATATTAAGAAATATTTTCATATATATATATATATATATATATATATATATATATATACTGTATATAGATTTATATATAATTTATATTATATATAAATATAAATATTTATATATGAATAATTTTGTATTTTTTTATTTTAATATACATGCATGTATATATATATATATATATATATATATATATATATATATACAAAATAATTATAGTGCACCCACATATACTATGTAAACACAATATTTTGGATGCGATTAATCGCAATGAATCATTTGATTATGATATGATTATATATATATATATATATATATATATATGATATATATATGATATGATTATATATATTCAATCTGGCACATTATGTTTTGGCAATGACACACATGTGAAGACTTCAGAGCTTTCATTTTAAGTAGGCCAATTTTGATTCATTTTTTAAATACCCCGGTAGCTATTATTAAAACAACACATAGGCATGTTAAGATGCTAAAGCAAAAGAATAAGTTGTTATAGAATAGGCTACTTGAAATGTTTTAATGAAATGATACATGTTTTCGCTTTGCTGAAGTGATTATTATGAATAAATATTACAAAATAAATAGCATGTTTTTTATAGGCCTAGAAATTTAGCAATCTTCTGTTCACAGAAAATGTGTTGCCTCCTCAGTATTAAATATTTGAACTTCGTTCACTTTTGGACCATAAACAATACCCAAAGTACTGTAATAGTAAAAAGTAATAGGGTTTGATCAATGAGCAATAACAGTAGGAAAGCCAAGGAAAAATGAATAAGGCACAGAAAGGGCATTTAAAGCCCTCTACCGCCATCTTATGGAATTTACAGAACAATGCATTGAACATCTTATTTATCTTGTCATGTTTACCTGGTCTGGGGTTTTCCCACCTAAAATCGCTGCCCACAAACAAGTCAGTTGCACGTGCAGATCCAGGTGAAAATTCCATCACCAACCCATACAATCTAGGTCAACAACAAGTTCAGGTAACAGCTTCTATATGAATTTAGCCACACCCAGCAGTGTTGCAATCTGTGTGTGGATGATGATGTAGGAGGAGGCGCGTCTTAACTGAAACGAACTCCAGAACTGATTCATGCATTCCTCACTCATCGCGAATTAGCGATCAGATGCGCGCGTGTCTTCTGCAGAGGAACTACTGTACAACCCAAAGGTCAGCACGAGACTGTTTTAGTTTTTTAGACTGGTTTAGTTTTCTTTAATGATCTTAATGTTTATATGCTTGATACTACATGATATGTTAGTTAATAATAAAATGTTAGAGTTCCTATGTTTTATATATATAATAGCCTATAAAATAGTTATTGAATAATTTCATGCAGTTGAAAGTTTTAGTGGTCCACAACTTACAAGGACTCAAAAGGGGGAGCTTTGTTTTCACACAGGAAAATCCAGAGTTGACTGGATTTTTAGGAAAAGCTGTTTGGCTCTTTTTTCTTATGTGACTTGTGGGAAATTTGCTGTCTAATACATTTCACGAATGCATTGAGCTGTTAGGGGATTGTTTTCTTCTTTTATGGACAAATACCGTGTCTCACCAGGACAAAGTTCAGATGTTTATAATCCTGTATTAGTAGCTACTCGCATAAAACTATGCACATTTAGCCTGGTTTGTAGCTTGTTTGAGAACTTGGGAATTTCCAGCGGCAAATAAATAACGTTAGCCAACCTGTTTCTCTATCCTCCAGGACAACCATGATGATCTTGGCATTGCTGACACTTCTGCTGATCACAAGTGAGTTATAAATCCTTCTGGACCCTTAAATGTAGTTCTATTCTATAAAAATAATAATAAAACAACAACAAACATACTTATTATATGATATTGTTACATATAGATATGCATATATTATTGGCATTTAAAAAAAGTTAAAGGAGTAGTTCAAAACTTTTGCTGATAATTTACTCACCCCCATGCCATCCAATATGTCCACATCATTCTTTCTTCAGTCGCAAAGAACTGAAGATTTTTGATGAAAACTTTCCATGATTTTCTCCATATAATGGACTTCAATGGGAACCAAACGGTTCAAGGTCCAAATGAGAGTTTCAGTGCAGCTTCAAATGGCTTTAAACGACACCACGATGGGGGTCTTATCTACGACCCTTCGAGTCATGACTCGAAAAAAGATTTGTTAATTTTGATGAACAAGTTTGAACAGGAGAGTCACAAACGCTCATCACAGTGCTTATAAAACTCAAACTTTTTTATTTATTTTTTTAAATGACCAATCGAAACGATCAAAATGCTAGATAAGACCCTTATTCATCGTCTGGTGTCGCCTTTGAAGCTGCACCGAAACTCTCATTTGGACCTTGAACCGTTTGGTTCCCATTGAAGTCCATTATTTGGAGAAAATCCATATGGAGAAATTTTTTTTTGTGTGTGTTTATTCTGTGTTCCAAATTTTGTAAATTAAGTTGAGAATTTGTTATGATGAGAATCTGTTACTGTTCTTGTAGATGGTTCTGCTGTGGAAACTAATGTGACTGGCATCGTCGGACAGACCGTAATTTTACCGTGTGGCTGTAGTAATATGTCTATGCTGGTATGGCAGAAAGGTGAAATAGTAGTGAATGGTTATCCACAAGAACGGATAGGCCAGGCTCACACTGACAGGACTGAACTCTTCCTGGAGAAGGAGAAAACAAACTGCTCCCTAATGATCCTCAACATCACTATAGCGGATGCAGGAGTTTACACCTGTCATGCCGTATTAAATGTTTCTGACGGCCTCTGGTCATGGAAGGCATTAGAAGTTAACTTAACAGGTGAGTTATCTAAAACTGAATGTATTTTTCCTATTGCAAACCAGTAGTAATAACTTGGAAGGAAACAAGCCTCTTCCTTTTTTTTAAATTTCATTGTGCTTCTCTTTTCAAAACGCTTGTCTTATTAGCTTTAGTCTATTGGTTAGATGATGACGTGTAAGAGACTCACAGGTCGGAAAAAGCAGTTAAAAAAGCAGAACATTCATGACAACCAAAGGAAGTTGAAATTGTCGGCACTGTAGCAGAACCGAAAGTCACAGCCCCCACAGTTAACCTATTACAATATTAAAAACATCGTCCTGACATCTGTGCAGCCAACAGTAATAAAATAGCTTATCTGTTGAATGGTATCAGAATAAGACTATAAATAAGGCTATGGGCTCAGAGCTGGAGTTACGAACAGCAGTTCAAGTGTTTTGTTAGTATAATTTTAAGACTAAATATAATCATTTAAGACTAAATAACATATTTAAGACTTATTCTGAAGTTTGCTGAGACCCCGGCCTCCTGATTGTGAAGCACTGCCTTATAACCTCTGCCTGTATGGATATTTTATATTTGTAATATGTAATGTCTGATATTTATGACAATCATGTACTCATATATTACCATTGTCTTCAACCAGTGTCTGAAAAGGAAAAAAGTGGACAGCAAACCTCCTTTGGAGACAAAACTGACAACACTGTCTCTATAAGTGTTCCCATTGTGGTCGTGCTAATATTTGCTGTTGCTGTGCTTCTTACCCTACTGATCAAAAGACGGCATCGGACAAACACGGTAAGCATTTTTTGTCTATAAATTTTGTTTCGTTGATTTTTTTGTGATTAGTTATTAAATGACATAAAACATCATAGCAAATATACACTTTCTAAATGATTTCGTTTATTATATATATAAAAAAACAAGGGGTCGTTTAAAACCAGATGCCTGTAATTAAACACGCTCGTGTTATGATGTATCTGTTTAGTCAGCATCTCGAAACCTGTCCCAGCTGGAATTTTAAAGGAGCTGTATGTAAGAAATTTATTTCAAATCATAAAATGGCCCTGATATGTCACTAGACATCAAGAAATCATGTTCATTTCAAATACTTATATCACTGACAACAATAGTCCAGCCAGGATATTGTCATTTAAAAAGTGAAGTTGCAGCCCTCGACTGATGTTGATGTTGTCATGTTGTGTTTTGGTCTGATGGTGAGTAGAGTAGTAGCATTCGGGGTGCCAGCTCTGCTCTAGTTACCACAGCTGAAGATACAAATGTGTCAGATAATTTTTTTTT